ATACATTTTTAATTGTGTGACAGACAGCTGAAACACATCATTGCTTTTAATTTAAATTGAAGTACAACAAATATGTGATTTGGGGCGTAAGACAAAGCAGATTTGAAAAAAGCTTTTATAGCCCCATTCACTTGCATTCTCGTTTTCTTATTTCCAGGGACCCATGATCCAGAAGTAGATGGGTGTGACTTAGGCTCCCTATAGGATGCCAAATGATTAAAAAGTGTCTTTAAATGTTTTTTTGATTCCAGCGACAATAACATTGATTGAACTCTGTAAAGATTCACTTGTAATTGTGTTAAGGTCTTAATAATTCATCTGCATTGCTATGTTAGTATGTCTTAAAGAAAGAGACTCACCATGCAACCTATTCCCCCAGGGATGTGGATCCCATCAATCACCATGTCCTCCTCAATCTGACGGGCTGTTCCTGGAGCAGTTGGGTAGAGTCTCAGCGTCTCCTTTAGCACCTGTGGTTAAGGTAGAATTTGAGGCCTCTATAAGTAACCGATTATTTACACATTTTAAAGCATGAAGACGTTCATGGAAGATATACTTTGTTGTTAATAGTGTTAGAAAATATCTGATTTCTGGTTCTAAGTGCATGAATGATAAATTTTACATATTCGTTGTAAGTACCTGTGAGAGGTAGACCAGTTTCCCAAGGTCATCATAACTTATGTCTTGCTTCATCCCAATGACTTCATCCACTTCTTTCCTCAATCTGAAACATTAAACCAATACTTGGAAACTCAAAGATCACAAACTCAATTATAAACTGTTACACGCCATATTTAGACCTCTTACTTCTCCAGTATCTCAGGATGTCTTCCAAGTTCCATGATGCAGAATGACAGCTGATTAGCGGTTGTTTCTTGACCTAAAAGGTGGCGGTTTCATCAAAACTGAACTAGAACATGACTAGCCGGTAACTACTGCCAGCTGCTTGAATAATTTGAAGTTGCTTGGTGTAAAGTCCAGTTTTTTTTCAACCCCCTGCAGAAGCTCAGACTCCTTTTCCACCAGTGATGCAAAGTTCGATGTCCCTAAAGACAGTTAAAGCTGGCAGGAGTTGAACTTCCATGTGTTCTGTCTTCTACATTCTTGTTCTTTGTAGCACCTCCACCACTGATTCCTGCATCCATTACAGAAGGTGCATCGATTTGGTGGAGGAGAACCTCAAAGTACTCCTTTCACAGGAAAACTATGCAATCAAGGTCAGTGACAGTCCATCCTCATGATGAACAATGCTGGCAAATGCATAACATCTGCCATCTGAGCAGTCCAGTAGTTTGTCAGAATATTCTAAAGGCCTCCCAAAAGTCTTGCTCCATAGCCTCACAAAGCCAAAGCTGCACCCAGGTTCTGGCTTTTCATCTTCACAATCCACAGTCTTCATAAATTGATATACATCTGCTACCTCTGGACTCCCACAAGCTTGTCAACAAGTACTTTTTCATCCTGACAGCTCCCTTTCCTGTAGATGTTCATCAGTGTTTGAGGACTGTACCACAACAAGGACCACCCAACTTAAGGCCCCTACTCTACACATTTACATGAACGCAGCTAAAGGTAAACAGCCCATTCAAACACCTTGCCTCTGCTAGACATTACCAGCATTCTATTTTTATAATGTATTGTTTGAATCATGTGTATTTATGGACCTGAGTATGCAATTAAAATTCAATCAATTTCATTGATTACTGCAACTTATTCAGCTCCAGAATGGAAGAGTGCAACACGTCTACAGTCCATTGGTATGCCTCAGCCTCCTGCACAAGCTTTAGCTCCTGAGTCCACAACAAACTACTACCTTACAAGACCTTCTGCAGGAGGCGGATTCACAGAACAAATACTAGATGGACCACATGGGTAAAAAAAAAACAACCAACAGGTGTCAGTGTTCTCCAACACCACCCAATATATGATCAATTGGCCAAATCAACTAGACACAGCTTTTAAGTCCAGACAGCTCAGCCTGAAGGTATTTTCCAGCTATAAGGAGACTCACCAGCAATGAAGAACGTCACAAAGTTGTCCAACATCAACTCCTCATCTTCGTGGGTCATGCTTTCCTCTGTTTTGACAAGTGATTAGATAAGCCAGTTATCAGATGTTACCTTGAATTATATCTGCAGAAAAATACAGTTATTTTTTCTCTGCTCTCTGGCTTCTCATCCTAACCTGTAGCAGCACTTTTGATGATCTGTGTGAGGATGTCTTTAGGAACATCTTCTCCATTCTGCATGGCGGTCTTCCTCTTGTGGATCACCTGAGCACCAGTTGTGCGCAGCAGCTGGCACGCTTCCCTCACCTCTTTAGTGAACTGTCGGTTCTTTGGATTCAGCTGGAATAAGCAGACTCAAGTTCTCAAACAGTGTGTGAGGTTTTTATTCTAGATGTTCCAAATTCAACACAGGTTTAGTCTTACCTGAAAGAAAATATCTCTGGCGTAAATTGCCATTCCTTTAAGAACTTTCTCAATGGCTTTTGGGAAAGGTGAACTATTCTTTAGGAGGTCTAAGTCCATGCCGAATGCAACCTGAAATAAAGAAAATAAATATTAGTTAACATTGTGACAGAGAGGAACCCACAGGAGCTCACAGTTCACTTAAAGCTGCTGTCCGGATTTTTCACCTTTCAGAAAAGATGTATGATTTTCAGAAATCCGTAAAAGTGATTGTCTCATATTTTACTGTGATGAAATGTAAGCCATACGTCTTTTTTTTTTGCTAAGCAAGCCCCCTGCCCCGCAGAGCTTGGATGTTTATGTTTATGTTTATTTATTTGGCAGACGCTTTTATCCAAAGCGACATACAATTTATAACCTATAGGGCATGTTGTGATCTGTGGGGGAAACCGGGGTACCCGGAGGAAGCCCACACATGCATGGGGAGAACACGCAACTCCACGCAGAAAGGCCGCATCAGAGTTTCGAACCTGCAACCTTCATGCTGCGAGGCAACAGTGCTAACCACTGCGCCACCATGCAGCCCATGGATAAGAGAAAAGCTCCGGAAAGAAGCTTTAAGGAGCAAAATGAATCAAAATATGTCTAGAATTACTAGAGAATTTTCAAAATAAAGTAATCTAATTTACATTAATAAAAAAAATTATAAACACAGGAAATATTATATTGCAGCATTTATATAGATGTAACTTTACATAATAAGACTGTATTCTTTATTTTATAGAAACACTAGATTTTGATTTGTAATAATATTTTTGCTTTTTGTTTTTCTATTTTAGAACATTTATACCATACCACTACTGTACTTTACCACTTTATTTATCAAGCGCGCTTCAGCACAGCATGAGAGCCGACCAAAGCACCTTACATAGGCTACAGTACAGAAAAAAGTACTGAAACATACATCATATCCTAAAACACAGCTATGTAAACAAGTAAAACCGCCAAACTAGCTATTCTAAAAAAATATGAATAAAAACAATTAAAGTAATAATTTCACAGGAAACAAGTACAGATGTAAAAGCCAGGTCATAAAAGTGTGTTTTTAGTCGTGACTTGAAAGCCGCAATAGAAGTTGACTAGCAAACATTGTTTTGTTTAATAGTGAACTACAAACATCGTCATGTTTATAAGGGCCTACCAGTCTGAAGACAATGTACCTTCCACAGTTTGGCTCTTCATAGCATTAAAGCTAATGTCAGATCATGCTACAGCTTTACAATTGACGATACCTTAGCGATCACATCAAGTGTGACACAGTTGATGAGGTGAAGCATGTTGGCCTTTGTATTATTGTCAGCAGCTTCCTCGAGTACATCCATCAGTTTCTCTGCTCTCTCATTGAAGGTCCCCATTAAACCTCTCAGATACCTGCAAGGAATTCAAAGTTTCAGACCAGCAAACAGCACGTCTACAACCGATTAAAGAAGCATTTTGCACAAACATAAGAAATAAAGAACGATGTGGGACTGAATAACTCACAAGCTGCTGAAGGCAGGGTCCATGATCCGGCGCTGTTTGTACCACATATCATGATCCAACGCCGTTATTAGGCCATTACCAAAAAATCTGCAAAAAACAAACAAAACAAAAGATGGTATTTTTCTAATGAAACAACAGTAGGAGGTTAGAATCAATTCTACCACAACTATAACTAAAGATGCATGAATGAGTACTGACAGAGTGACATCTACCTTTCCCCAAACAGGTAAAAGAGCCTCTTGTAGACAAACTTGTCTTTGCGGTACTTTGGAGACATCAGTATTTCCTGAAATGAAAACCAATAAAATGATGTAAGACAGGACTAGGGCCTTTATTTCATTTTCAGGTAGCTTCACACGCTCTTTTATAACTTTAAATGTTTTATACTATGTGCCAATCGGCAGGGGGTCTACCAATGGAAATTAGCCTTTTGGCTATAATTGGGTACATTTACATTGTAAAATGTTTATTAATGCACATTGTCCCTCTACATCAAAAAAAAGTTATTCAACTCTATTCTTTCTTAAACAGATTTCTCTTTTCCTATCAGGAGTTGAATCTAAAATTGCATCGCCCTCTAGTGGCCTCATCAAGTATTACAAAAAACAAACAGGAAATGTATTCCTCCCATAAACTTTTTTTTCTGTTTGCTTAAAGTGTAAGTCACCCCCAAATAAACTTTTTTTTGCTGATAAACTAAATAAATGAGTGTCTAATCGTGCTGCAGACACGTGTCGTCAATAATTTGGCACTTCAGTGCATCTTAGTTAAAATTTAAATATTCTGCCTGAAACTGGCAGTGTTGTGCCGTTGTCAGGTAAAAACTCTGCACTGTATTCTAATTTTAATCTACCACCGCTATTGGCTAAGAAGTATGCTATGATGTAAACTGGTACATTATGATGTCACAATGCTGTCGTGAGCCTGTGTGTGTGTGTATCTGTTAGCAGCGCCGTCCTCTCGATCTGCCAGGCAACAGCATTTGTTGCATTTTTCAAACATGAAGTGGGAGTGGAGTTAGACTCTGGTAGGGGGTGACTTGCTCTTTAAAGGTCTGACCAAATTTCATTTTCTCTTGACTTAATGAGTCCGATGAAAAGGTGATAGGAGACGACCGCTTTCTGTAAAGATTTTGTAACGGACTTCTTTTTTCCATTTAGTTTATCAAGAAAAACAAGTTCATGAGGCTTTTTTACATTTTACCTTCAATCATAACACTTCCTTTTTGCAGTGGCAACAATAAGCTGTTGTACATTTATGTAGGAAGATTTAGTTTTCTTTGAATACTTATGCAACAACTGTTTACCTTTGTGGCCTCTGGACAAGTCACACATATGGTAACTTGATGCAGACCATTTAGCCTGTAAACTGGTCCGTAAGTCTCAGCCCTGCAAAAAAAGACATTTTATTTAGAAACAATACTGACAGATCTGATAACTTATCAGAGTAGACAGTCTGTTGTTGAGGGAGTTATATAGTTAAAGTCCCATTAGTCGTCACACACTGGTGAAATTACATTTCCGCCTTTGACCCATTCCCGTGGGGAGCGGTGAGCAATCCATCCTCTTAAAACTGAGTCTCAAACGGAGAGGAATTGGGTGACCCAACCGCAGATTTGAATCCACAGTCTCCCAGTCTCAGGGCGGATACTCATACCCAGGGATCCAGGGTAGCCAGGGATTAAGGCAAAGTTGATTAGAAATGAGCTCTTAGGACGTATATAAGTGGTCAAACCGTGGCGTTAATGTGGCTAAAAGATTGGACATAACTTACTTTTTATTGCGATTGAAGCCGTGATTTTACTTTTTTTAATAAGCCACTCCTAAATGTGTCTGTCTCCACCAGTCCCCATGCAGTCTCTGATTATCTGACCTTCAGCTCGAAAGGAGAGATGCTCACGGAGCGCTGTGGCCCTCCAGTTTGCCTTCTCAGGTGAATTTGTTCAAAAAGCAAAACTTATTACTCATGTTTACTTTCATTTCTTATGTATTTGCCGGCTGGGGCTCAGCATTAACTCCTCACGTCATCATGACACCTCATGATGCCTATGTTGCGCCATGGCGCAATAGCCGTTTATAAAACAGACCATTACAGCAATATTACTACCAAGCAAGGCGGAATGAAGGCGCAGAATTTGCACAACACCATGTGTTGTAGCAATCTAGTTATGCCCGGTAGGATTTGTTTCCCTGTCGGTGAAATTTGCTTCCCCTTGCGTCAGGAGCATGTGCCGGTGTTTTGTTGATATCTGTTCCCCCCTCAAGATCTGTTTCGCCTCCACCCAAACACAAGTAGGAACCATCCACTCCAAAAAACTGAGTGTCCTTCCTTAAACTTTACCCTAAACATAACCCTATAACAACAAAAAAAAAAAATTCGTTCCACACAGAGTAATTTCAGAAATTATAATTGTGCTAAACATACATTTTTGGTGACTAAGTGGTTATGGTCAGAGTAAGTGTCAGGGTGAGGGCTATTGCTTTGTGAGAGGGGGAACTTAAATCGACATAACACCAGCACCTGACGCAGGGGAAACAAATTCTACCAGGGATAACGATTGCTACAACACCTGCATGGCGCCTTTATAGGGCACATGGTGTCACGGTCTGAGGTGTATCCCTGCTGTCACTCTCTGTCTCTTGAGTTTTCCCTCTGCAGGTGGGCGTGTCTGGAGGTTGACCAAGCTGCAGCAGATCTGCTCATCAGCCAGCCAGGTGTATTTAAGCAGCTGGGAGACTTCTACACTTCGCTGGATGATTACTCTACCTGGGTACCTTCTAAGCCACCTCATAGTATTATATTCGAGCTCGTTGGACCTTTTGAGATTTTAGATGTGTTTTGGATTTTGGATTCTGCATTTACCCTTCCTGCTCTCGTTCACCAGATAAAACCTCCACCTTCATCTCTGACTGGCTGAACTCTGGAACTCCAACCTGCTTGTCTCTCAGCCGCTCCCTGGCCAGAACCACCTCCAGCTGCCCACCTAAGCTTCCTGGATCTCCACAAACTCAGCTCCCTCCACGTCTCACCTTTTGGATCTCAGTTCCAGGAAAACCCCCTCAGCCCAGACCGGACCACTCCTGCCTCGAGTTAGTTCCCTCCTCTCCAGACTGTAAGTCCTCCGCACAATTCAGATTCCTTACCCTCCTCGAGTTGGATCTAACTCCCTTCTGTCCACAGATTTCCCGCACAGACTGCCTTGTGAAAGAACTCCGCTTTGTTTATGCTGCTTCCTTGGTTTCCCTTTTAATAAATTCTTATTTAAACACTTTACCCCCGTCTCTATGCTGATTCTGTATGTCGTGGGTTAGACTTCTACACCACAACATGACACATAGTTGCAGTAATACTACGTCGATTTGCCGGTATGGTGTGCCGTGTAAAAAGCGCTGCTGTCTCTCTCTGCTGTGAGGAGGCACACACACAATGCTGCCAGTCACAGCAAACCAGGATGCAAAATCAGTTTCCAAAAATAAGAGTATTCAGGATGCTTTTTAACTTTTATTTAATAATGGGAACCCCGCCCACCTGCTTGAGATGCGCTCATTACATTACAGGCCACAGACCGCCCATGTGCTCAATCACGCCCACATTCCTAAAGCAGTGTGGAAAAAAAACTAGCTGGGACGGGCTAGTGGCTAGGTGGCATTAAGCTATCTATACACAGATGTCTCATCAACTGGAGCTGCCATAAAGGCTGGCCACCATCTTGGATGGGTCTCCATTAACCCCCAGGGCAAACTTTTCTACTGAGGAAGTTGCTTACCCAACTAAAAAGCACATTTTATCAAGCTTTGCCACTAAATCTGACTCATTGTATGGCATGATAATTAAAATATAAATATGATTACACATCCATTTTCTGAACCCGCTTGTCCATGTAGGGTCGCGGGAGGGCTGGTGCCTAACTCCAGCGGTCAATGGACAATCAGGTAGGGTACACCCTGGACAGACGGCGTCCATCGCAGGGCAACACAGACACACAGGATGAACAATCACGCACACACACTCACACCTAAGGACAATTTGGACAGACCAATCAAACTCATGTTTTTGGACTGTGGGAGGAACCCGGAGCGGAGAGAACCCACGCATAGACAGGGAGAACATGCAAAAAGACCCCAGGCTGGGAAGCGAACCCAGGACCTTATTGCTGCAAGGCAACAGCTCTAACCACTGCGCCGCCCTATGATTACACATAATAAATAAAAATATAAAATCCCATCAGGTAGGCTAGAAAGGCCCTATGTGGTCTGTTTCAATAATACACTGGTTGTTGTAAAAGTAGGCCGCACAAAAAACGGGCATAGTTGCTCACTCTGTGTGGACTTTGGAGTGTGAGGAGACCCATCCAATATGGCGGCGATGCAATGTCGCAGTCCAGCGTCTATGAATTTAATGGTCTAGTCTACTGAGAAGGTTATATAACAATTTAAAGGAATATTACACCAAAAGTCGAATTCAGGCACATTCAAGAAGTTTTAAGATCTTCCAGCACCTCACAGTATTTTAGACAAGTTCAGTTATTTTTCAAGTGATTTAAACACATTCAAAATAACACAATAAAGTACTTTTATTCCAAAAAGCACGTACAAGAGTTTACCCTTTAGCATCCATATTTAATCCACTTCATAAAACATGTTCATATTTAATAAAATAAAAACATAAACATTGTTTGTACTACTTACCATTTCAGAAACATGTCATGTACCATTCCGTCATTTTTCATAATCCTCAATAAGGTCGGAGAATGTCCAAAAATGAAACTAGAAGAACAAAAAAGTCAGACAGAAAGTCGGAAGAGCCAAATCGACTCGCTGCCAAAAAATGATAAGCCACCGCGGGATCGCGCACGGTTAGGTAATTGCATTTCTAGACGAAATTCCCCAGGATTTCGCCTTAAAACTCAGCATATCTAGCAATATGGACATTCAGAAAGCAGAGGTAACCTCTTCCGGTACTTAAACAGATGTTTATCGCGGATATTAGTTTTTCCACTTGGCACAACACCTTAACTTCAGCCTGGTTTTAGCCTTACCTGTCTCTCGGTGGTCCAGGTATGTGGTCATACTTCATGTGAATGTACTTAATAAACAAGCAGTAACCCAGAAACGCGATGAAAAGAACAATTACCAGAACTATGAGCGCATTTGCTGCCAAACCGAGCAGCAAGGAAAACACCGCCATGACTAGTGAGTCTAGAAAGCGGTGTGCCCTCTGCTGTTGTATAATCACACCCTGATGAACCCAGCTTGCACTGGGCATCACGTTTAAAGTCCAGCGTTTTACCGAGGTATACAGCCTAGATCCACCTTTATTGGTTTTATTAATATTATTTGTTCTGAACTTTGTTCTCTGTTAGGAAAAACAATGATCTGACACTATTAGCTCAATAACCACAAAAATAAATGTAGACTTTTGTAAAAAAAAATATTATTAATGAAGATGAACATAACCACTTTATTATCTTTAATTATAAAATATCCACAGAATGATGTAACCCTTGGACCCAAACCATCTAGAGGTACTAGAAATTCTTTGCATCGTGCAACAGAGATTTGCTTTCCATCTTAGTTTAACTCTGAGTATTTTGGATGACAGAAAAAGATTAATATAGATTAATACTATTAAACTGATATTATTAAATGCCTCCTGGGACGCCTCCCTGGTGAGGTTTTCTGGGCACGTCCAACTGGGAGGAGGCCTAAAGGGAGACCCAGGACACGTTGGAGGGACCATGTCTCTCACCTGGCCAGGGAACGACTTGAGATTCCCCCGGAGAAGCTGGCCCAAGTGGCTGCGGAGAGGCAAGTCTGGGCCTCTCGACTTAGGCTGCTGCCCCCGCGACCCGACTCCGGATAAGCGGATGAAAATGGATGGATGGATGAATGGATGGATGGATAAATTGAGTCTGCGGTGAAACAAATGCTATTGTTTTTTATGTTTCCATAAAACTTTCCATGATGTGCAAGCGCCCCTAATTTTGAACTGAATACTGAGCAGTTTTGTCAGACATAGGTCTAGTCCCAATACTCGCACTTCCACCCTTGAAATGTGCGTTCCCGGCCAAGGGTGCGAGTGCAAAAGGTGTCCTGATTCTCAACTGCAGAAGGTGACCACACCGTTTTTATACTCTTGATCCACCCTTGTCCGAAGTCTGCATCGATGCGGACTTTGGGCAAGGGTATTACCCACAATCCATTGCTGTGTGTGAATTTTGAGAAGAAGGCAAAGCAATGGCTTTAGTGCCTTTTATAAAAAATGTATTTTCCAATGTAAGAAGCTTGTTTTTAAGACAGTTCATGATATTTATTCATGCTCTGTATTATTTAGACTAAGATTGAATGTGGACATCAAAGAATTTAAATTTAGTCAAATAACTGTTTCTTTGAAAGTTAATAAAAACTTTTTTTGAAGTAGCAGAGACAATAACCTGCATCCCAGCATGCGTCGCGGTCAATGACACAATGCTCCCTGTCCCAGTTTGGCACTCTCGTGTACTACGCACTCGAAGCCTTACCTCCTCTAAGTGTAATTCCCAGAACAGGTGCAGTGCGAGTATTGGGACTGGGCCATAAACTCTAGTAAACGTTGCAGATTTGAGCATTGATATTTTCCATGCACGTAGATGTACTCTGTGCCTTTCAATGACAACACATTCCTTTATCTTGTTGTAACAGCCTTTGACTTGTTAGAGCAATATTAGCTGTCTATCTTTTATGGATTATTGGCAGTGCTATGAACAAATATTGGTGTAGTTAACAGTTGGCTTGTGGCCAATAGTCAGTCGACCAGCACAACTAGTCAATCATTCATTCACCAATCTGAAACTCAAAAATCAGAGGTGGTTTTTCTAATAATTGTTAAATTATGCTGTCAGTAACAGATCTTTCATGTGGAAGATTTACTTCTATAATCTTAATTTTCAGGTTATTCAGAAACTTAAAAGATAAATGAAATTGCAGGGTCCCATGGTGGCACATTAGGCAATAATGTTACCTTGCAGCAAGAAGACTGCAGATTCAGAACCCAGATGTGGCCTATCACTGTGGAGTTAGCATGTTCTCGTGCATGTGTAAGGCTCTTCTGGGCACTCATGCTTCCCACAGACCAAAATCCTGCATTTTAGGTTAAATGGGAACTTTTAATGGCTGTATGTCTCGTTGGTCTCTGTGTGTCCATGGACTGGACTGGCAACCTGTGCAGGATGTTCCCCGCCTCTCGCCCGGTGACTGATGGAGCTAAGCACCAGATTCCTGCAACGCTACTCAAGAATAAGCTGTCAAAAATGACTGAATGAATACATGAAAAATAAACTGGTCTTCTGTTACTTCTTGTATACAAAAAAGAAATCTGCCAAGATCAGGTCATGTTTGTGCTACATTTTTATGGACTAATACTAACTTGTTCATGATCTGCTTGAACTTTGAACAAATTGTTTAATTAGAATTTGAGAAATACCAGGCTATCTGCGCCTTTTTGTGACGTTTCTCTTCCAGTAGCCGGGCTTACCTTTGTAGCCTCTGGACAGGTCACATACGCGCACACATAATGCAGAATATTAATCTTGTAAACAGGCCCATAGGTCAAAGCCCTGTAAATGAAAAAAATTAACACACCAACTCAATTTGCAATTCTGACACACTGAGGGGCATGCCACTGAGCTTTATGGATAAAAAGAGACATAATTGCAGGAAAAACTAAATTTGGTACACAGAAAACCCCCAGAACGACATGATTGTGCTCACCATTCAAGCTGTTTGTCATGTACAAGTCCATCATTTTTCATAACCCTCAAAAGCGTCGGTGAATGTCCCAAAAAGAAACTGTTGAGGCGTGAAGCAAGTTAATGTTCAATAAAATTTTAACTAAACAGTCTTTCATTGAAGAAACTTACCTGTCTCTTGGTGGCCCAGGTATGTGGTCATGTTTCATATAGCATAGCATAGTTTATTTATATAGCACGTTTAAAATGCAGCATGGGAGCTGCCCAAAGTGCTGCACAGGCTAAAACAAAACACACCCATTACAAGGAACTAAAACAAAGGATAAAAATCTCAATTAAAAGCAGAGAAAACATGAATAATAAGAGCACATTAAAACAATGACACAATAAAACACTAAAACGAGTCACTGTCTAAAAGCCAGAGTGTAAAAGTGGGTCTTTAAACGAGATTTAAAAACCGCCAGAGATGGAGCCTGCCGAACTCCAATGGGCAGTGAGTTCCATAGCTTTGGGGCAGCATGGACAGGTCCCCCCGCGATTTGAGTCTCATCCGCGGCGTGTGCAGCAGCAAAAGGTCAGCCGACCTCAACGAGCGGGTGGGCACATATGGAGTGAGAAGGGCAGAGAGGTAGGAAGGTGCCAGGTCATTGAGTGCTTTAAAAACAAAAGTCAGTAACTTAAACTGCACTCTGAAAATGACAGGGAGCCAGTGAAGATGTGCCAGGACAGGGGTAATGTGGCTACGTCGGTGTGTACCCGTCAAGAACCTGGCAGCAGCGTTCTGAACAACCTGCAGCCGATTCATGGACTTAATATACAAACAGTATGCAAGAAATGCTATCAAAAGAAGAAAAGTCAGTAAAATGACCACTTTTGAAACCAAATTCACTAGAATGTAGAACACTGCCATTGTGCTGTATTCAGAACTTTTAGTGGGACTGTTTCTACAGGTGAAGATGTGGGCGGGGCAGTGACTAAAGGATGCATTCAAATACACCTCGTAAACTACAAACCTAAGAATGACAGAAAGCAAAATTCCCATTGAGTACAATGTTTTAAAATACATATTAAGATAAAAACAAATATCCCAAACTACTTACTTGAACATTTGTCAAAAATGTTGTAGTTAGGTTAAAATGTTACTTCCAAGAAAAACAAACACATTAAAAGAGCATTCACAAAGTCTAGAAAAACATTAAACTGAAAAACCACAGTCATGTCAGGAGCTGCCCCTCCTGCCCAATTAATTTGTTGCACCTGCCCCTAATGTCAGGTTTTCAGCTATATTTTAGCCACTGACTGACAAAATACTGGAAAACACCTCCATGATATTACAAATAGCTTTCTGAAAGGCTTATAGGAAACATTACACCCATCTACTGCATAGCCATGGGTCCCCAGACAAAAGAGAAAAAAATGAATGCAATCAATGGGGCTGTAAAACCATTTTCTAATCCTGTTTGATTGTGTTTGATATGTGCCATGGATTTCACATATGATGTCAGTGAATGAAGACATATTTTGATGACAAGATAGTGCTTTTATTTCAAATGGCGTAAAAAGTTATTTTAGGGTTTGTGAGAAAATACGTTTAGGACTACAAATGTTGGTCTCACCAAATTAGCATCATCGAATTAGACACGAAAAGAAGAAGATTAGTTTAGAGATCATCACATCCTTCATCCGGGACAAAAGAAAGGACCATTGAACGTGGAGAAAATCACAGTAGATCTGATCATGTGGAAAGTAGCAGCAATGTTGGGGAGAATAGATTCTAGTGACGTCATTTATGCGACGTTTGCATATCCTTTCAAACCCAGGCTGAGTCCATATCAGTCATTGCGTCCTTGGTCAAGACACTTTACATTCCTGGCCTGGGGGGCAGTAGTCATTTTACTATCACATGTTCCAGTCTAGTTGAAATATTTTTATACTAAGAGATGAACGTGAGTCCACATCAACATGACGCCATCTTTATGCTCTGTCATAATTTGATTTTGGCTGACTGGATTTAATGTCTCTCAACTCATTGCAGCTAACATGAATCAAATTGTTAGCTGAAGTGAATTCAGGCAAAAAAAACTGTGTAAACAGTAAAGCTATGATTGGTGGAAAACACTTATAAAACAAAATAAAAGTTTAATATTACAAAACATTTCCTTTTCTGTTGAGTTGCATTTTGAAAAATCCACCAAAGAAAACACAGGAAAGTGCCAGGTAGTTTCCGTTTGTCCAGAGGAACCTGAACGCAGCACACAGGATTGATTGTTGAGAAGGACGGTGACAACAAAAATGGAGACGGATCGAAAACAACGTAAGACTGTCTCTGCGTTTGTTCTCACACAGAAACGGAGGCGGGTAGAATAGAAGGATAACACCTAGACAGAAAACTGCGTTTATGTGAAAACGGTGTTCATTTTAAGCTAGTTTGGCCGTTAATAGCTTAGCTTCTGTAGCCTAGACGTTTGCTAGTGTACCATTTGCGATTTAGCTACATATAGGAGTAAACACGCTGGACACGTTGTGTCTGTTTTGCTAATTTAGTTTAGACGGTGCGGAATGAAAATGTTTAGTGTGCTTAAAAATAACTACCGTCATTTTACTTCCCGTCCTGTGCTTAATGTGTGGGTCAATTTTGTTGTTTTAGTGAAGCAGACCCGTTACTTTATGATCCTGTTCAAAGATGCAGCCGAGCTCTGACTCTGTTGACAATTTGGTGCTTTTCTAAACTAAAATGTTGTTATTTAGTGACGTTTATGCATGTCGACTTGGTTGTAGTTTTCTGTACCACCTCAGGGTGTCGCTGTTACGCGTTGACTTGTGCAGAGATTGTTTTTATTGGTTCCTTCCGCCATTAAAATATATTTTATTCTATATGAGCTAATAGACATTAGCCACATTCAGCACCACCGCGTGTATGAGTTAATCTAGATGTCTACTGATGAACAAGTAGATCTCAGTTTTCTCAGTAAACAGCTTTTGTCATTTAATTGTCTACAAACAGTTGAAATTTGTTTTCCATTGTGGGTAATTGGCATCCATAGTTTACAGTAGGGCTGGACAATATTGAAAAAAAAGTATGTCTATAACAAGTTTTTTTTATATTGATCCATATTAATAATTATAGAAAAATATGTTTAAAATTGTAGAAAATGTATTTTACGTGCAGCCCTGGCCATTTCATTTTTGGTATTTTTTTTTCTCCACCTCTTCTCGCTGAGACATCTTTCTGCCTCACGCTGCGTTTTGCCTTGAGAAGGGGAGGGCCTGGTGAAGTAGCAGGCTGAGTCTGTGGTTTTGATTGGTTAGGAGTAAGTAGTGAGTCTAGTATGCTGCTACCTGATAGGTAATAATGAAAAAAAAGGAAGAAAATGTATTTTCTATAGCGCCTCTCAAGATAAAAATCATGAGGCGCTTCACAAAAACAAAACTTTAAAATATAAAAAGAATTTCGAAAATGATAAAAAAAATATGTATAAATGAGCAAAAATAGACTTTTGTAACGAGAGAGAGAGAGAGAGAGAGAGAGAGAGAGAGAGAATAGGAAAGAGGGAAATCAGTGGATCCTGAGGAAGGTGGAATAGGTGGGGAGAGCAGAATAAGGAGAGAGTGGTGATGAAGGTCATACAAAAGCCAGCTTGAACAAGTGAGTCTTAAGCTGTTTTTTAAAGGAGACCACTGAGTCCACTGATCTCAGGCTCAGGGGGAGAGAGTTCCAGAGTCTGGGAGCCACAGCAGCACATTATCTGTCACCTTTGGTCATCAAATCAAATCACTTTTATTGTCACGTCACATGTGCAGGTACACTGGTACAGTACATGCGAGTGAAATTCTTGTGTGCGAGCTTCACAGCAACAGAGTTGTGCAAAAATACAATAACGTAAAAACAAGCAAAATATAAAAATGGCTAATCTAAGTAATAATATGTATAGTATGTAAGGTATATACATTACTAAATGTGTGTGCTAGTATTTTTTTTCTATGTGTGTGCGTGTGAGTGTGTGTATAATGTGTATACACATGTTTTACAAATGAATAAAGTAAACAATAAGATAAGAGATATAAAATGTACAGAGGGTGGTATGTGCAAAACAGTGGCATTAATGTACAGTATGGAGTGTGTAATGTTGGAGTTTCAGTAGTGAGGGTGAGGTGTCTGCGATGTGTTCAGCAGTCTGATCGCCTGATGGAAAAAGCTGTCTCTCAGTCTGCTGGTTCTGGACCGGATGCTGCAGAACCTCCTTTCTGATGGAAGTAGTCTGAACAGTTTATGGCTGGGGTGACTTGAGTCCTTGATGATCCTCCCCGCTTTCCTCAGGCACCGCTTCCTGTAGATGTCTTGGAGGGAGGGAAGCTCACCTCCAATAATCCTTTCTGCACACCGCACTACTTTCTGGAGAGCTTTTCAGTTGTAAGCGGTGCTGTTGCCATACCAGGTGGAGGTGCATCCAGTGAGGATGCTCTCAATGGCACAGCGATAGAAGGTCCTGAGGATGCGGTGGCTCTTGCCAAATCTTTTCAGTCTCCTGAGAAAGAAGAGGCGCTGCTGTGCCTTCTTCACTGTATTGTTCGTGTGCAATGACCACGTAAGATCCTCAGCCAGATGAACTCCAAGGAAACGGAAGCTGCTCACCCTCTCCACAGCGTCGCCGTTGATGGTGATGGGGATGTGTATTCCTCTGCACCTCCGGAAGTCTATTATCATCTCCTTTGTCTTTGTGACGTTGAGGGTGAGACGGTTGTCCTGACACCAGTGGGTCAGGGCGCTGATCTCCTCCCTGTAGGCCGTCTCATCGTCGTTGGTGATGAGACCTACCACTGTGGTGTCGTCAGCAAACTTAACAATGATGTTGGAGTTTCTCGTGGCCGTGCAGTCGTGGGTGTAGAGTGAGTACAGGAGAGGGCTCAGCGCACACCCCTGCGGTGCACCAGTGTTCAGTGTTACGGGAGATGAGGTGGTGCTGCCCAGTCTGACCACCTGGCGTCTGTCAGACAGAAAGTTAAGGATCCAGCTGCAGAGGGAGCTGCTCAGTCCTAGATCCTGCAGTTTCCTGTCCAGCTTCGAGGGAACGATGGTGTTGAATGCTGAGCTGTAATCTACAAACAGCATTCTCACATACGTGTCCCTCTTCTCCAGGTGTGACAGGGCAGCATGGAGTGTCAGGGCTATGGCGTCATCAGTGGACCTGTTGTGGCGGTATGCAAACTGTAGAGGGTCCAGTGAATCGGGCAGTGCAGAGCAGATGAAGTCCCTGACCAACTTCTCGAAGCATTTTCTCACGATGGGGGTCAGGGCTACAGGTCGCCAGTCATTCAATGTGGAGATGGTAGAGGATTTGGGTACAGGGACAATGGTGGCCATTTTGAAGCAGGCTGGGACTACAGACAGAGAGAGGGAAAGGTTGAAGATGTGTGTAAACACTCCAGCCAACTGACCTGAGGATGCGGCTGGGAATCCCATCCGGACCAGTAGCTTTGTGTGCGTTCACCCTCCTGAAGCACCTCCGCACATCCTCTTCAGACACAGTGTGTGCACTGACGTCATCTGCGGTGCGCTCACTGTCTGGTCTCATGGTGTTCGCTGTGTCGAATCTGGCATAGAATTAGCCAGCACATTATCTGTCACCTTTGGTCTTTAGCCTGGTGCGCTGCACAACCAGTAGGCTTTGGTCACCAGACCTCAGGGACCTGCTGGGGGTGTAGGGACTAAGAAGATCACCAATGTAAGATGGTGCTTGTCCATGTAAGGCCCTATAGACCAGAACTAGGATCAAATGAATCCTGAAATTGGCTGGCAGCCAATTAAGTTGGAGGAGAAGCGGGGTGATGTGGTTGTGTTTGGAGGACTTGGTCAGAAGCCGAGCACAGGCATTCTGAACCACCTGTAGACGGTTCAGGGAGGTTTTGCTCAGACACGTGAAAAGAGAGTTACAGTAGTCTAAGCGTGAGGAGATGAAGGTGTGGATAGCTGTCTCAAGTGCAGAGCGGGACAGAATGGAATGAACAAGAGAACTGACATGATAATCCAGGGTGAGAATTGGGTCAAAGGTCACTCCAAGATTCCTGACAGAAGGTTTGGTGTGGGAAGCAAGCTGACCAAGAGAGTCTTTGACTTTGGGAACCAGCTTGTCTGGGGCACAGATGAGGATCTCAGTCTTATCTTCATTCAGCTGTAGAAAGCTCCCACCATCCAGGTTTTAATAGAGTCTAAGCAGGTGTGTAACAGCTGCAGCTTAGACATCTCATGGGGCTTAAAGGAGATGTACAGTTGGATGTCATCTGCATAAAGATGGTAGGAGATTCCTTTGAAGGAGCTCAGGATGTGCTGAAGAGGAAGCAGATAGAGGAGGAAGAGCAGAGGCCCCAGCACAGAACCTTGTGGGACACCATGGGTAAGGGAGGTGGTGGAGGACCTAAACTTGGAGACGGCCACAGAAAAGGAGCGCTCAGAAAGATAAGAGGAGAACCACTCCAGAGCAGATCCTGATAGGCCTACCCAGTCTCTCAGCCTCTCCAGTAGCAGGTGATGGTCAACAGTGCCAAAGGCTGCAGTCAGGTCCAGCAGGACCAGAACAGAACAGTCCCCTGCATCACTGTGGGTCAGAAGGTCATTAGAGACCCTAAGAAGAGCTGTTTCAGTAGAATGAGCTCTACGAAAACCTGACTGGAAGCTATCATAGATGTTATGTTCATCAAGAGCAGCTGTGAGTTGTTTTGCCACAACCTTTTCCCAGATCTTGGAGATGAACGGAAGTTTAGAGATGGGTCTGAAGCTGCTATGGAGAGAGGGGTCGAGACTCGGTTTTTTAAGTAGCGAGTGGATTATATCATTGTTCAAGTAAGCAGGGACCTGACCAGAAACCAGAGAAGCATTAATTATAGAGAGCACGCTGGGACCGATGGACTGAAAAGCACTTTTAAACAAAGATGAGGGTAAGATGTTGAGGGGGCATGCAGAGGTCTTCATAGAGTTAACTAGTTTGGTTAACTCAGGCAAAGAAACAGGAGCAAAGCTATCTAGGATGATGGGCCTGGTTGGAGTCGGCAGAGGCAGCGATAAGGCTGAAGGCGAGGTGCTAGATCTAACCTTATTGACTTTGTCCACAAAGAAAGACAGAAAGTTCTCACAGTCTGTAAAAGAGTGGATGGAGGCTGTAGGAGAGGCAGCAGTAGCTCAACAGGTTGAGCGGGTTGTCCAGTAGTCGGAAGTTTGCAGGTTCGATCCCGGCTCCGGACAGAGAATTCTGCTGTTGTGTCCTTGGGCAAGACACTTAACCTACCTTGCCTGCTGGTGGTGGTCGGAGGGACCGGTTGCGCCTGTGCTCGGCAGCCTCGCCTCTGTCAGTGCCCTCCAGGGCAGCTGTGGCTACATCGTAGCTCATCACCACCAGTGTGTGAATGGATGAATGATACACTGTAGTGTAAAGCACTTTGGAGCCCTTATTGACTTTGTCTGGGTCACTTTGGAGTCCTTACTCTGAGGGGCGCTATACAAGCGCGGGTCATTTATCATGCTGCTGATGGTGTTAAACAGCACCTTGGGGTTCCCTTTGCTCTGGGACACCAGGTTTGAGAAATAGGAAACCCTTGCATCTCTGACTGCAGAGCTGAAGGATGTCAGAAGAACCTTTAAATGCAGCAGATGAACGTGGAGACGTTTCTTTTTCCACAAGCGCTCACAAGGAAACTTTTTATCGAAGTTTTATCGACCCATTTTTATCCATCGCACCACATGTCTATCGATAGATATATTGCACTATTGAATTATCGTCCAGTCTTAGTTTCAAGTAATTGTTTGCTTGTAACAAATCGAACCATTACTTTTTAAAATCCATTCAGTATTATAACACAGCATCATGCTGTTGTCCTTTCTAGTCTCCCCTTACTGGAATGTGTTTTGTCCTTTAAGTAAAAGTGTTTATCTCTGATTTGCTCACAGGTAACTCATGTCTGACAACTGACTCGTAACTATCTGAGAGGAGGAAAGCACCCAGAGATCGGAGCCATGGAGGCTCGCTTTGGTACCGTTGTGTTCAGCTCCAAGTTTGACTCAGGGAATCTAGCACGGGTGGAGAAGGTAAAGAAGGGCTGCACGAGTCCCTCCTCTAAACCCACCTCTGATGTTTCTGGGTCACACCTTACTCCGGACTGTGAGTTCAACGTGTGGACCCAGCCAGACTGTGCTGGGTCAGAGTATGAAAATGGAAACAGGTAAATTTTTATTTGATGCTCTTTCCTTCATCAAGAAAAGAGTTGATTTGTAATCATTAGATTGTTTATTTTCAGGTCGTGGTTTTACTTCAGCGTTCGAGGGACTACGCCCGGGAAATTACTGAAGATCAATGTGATGAACATGAATAATCAGCGGAAGCTCTACAGCCAGGGCATGGCTCCCCTCGTACGAACTTTACCTGGCAAAAACCGGTGGGAAAGGATCCGGGACAGACCCACAGTCAAGGTACACACACACCCTGATCCCGTCAGAGAGACGATGTGAACGTCAGAAACCGAAGAGGCTGAGCAGGTATTTTTTATCTTTCTAGTAATACTCCTGCATCCCTGTTCATCTGCTGCTTTCCAGATCGCAGATAACCAGTTCATTCTGTCCTTCACCCACCGGGTGCTGAAGGTGCGGGGGGCTATCACCTTTTTCTCTTTCTGCTTCCCTTTCTCCTACACCGAGTGTCAGGAGATGCTGCAGCAGCTGGATGAGCGCTTCCCCAACGCTGCTCAGCTCGGTCCGAGCAGGTAAAACACACGCTTGTTGGCTCATGTTAAGTTTTGTTCTTTTGGCACTTTCTTATTGCCACTAATCTGTGTATTCCTGTGTCAGTGCACCAGGCGCGGTGTATTATCATAGGGAGCTGCTGTGCCACTCTCTTGATGGCAATAGGGTGGACCTCCTCACTGTGACCAACTGCAGCGGGATGCAGGGAGATAGAGAAGCCCGTCTGCCAAAACTGTTTCCTGAGACCAACACTCCAAGGCCTCACCGTTTCACTAACAAGAGGGTATTTAGTCTTCATGTGTCCTTAAATACAATACTTATGTGATGTTAAGTCACTTCTGTGTGTGTGTGTGTGTGTGTGTGTGTGTGTGTGTGTGTGTGTGTGTGTTCGCTCGCTCGCTCAGGTGTTCTTCCTCAGCAGCCGAGTGCATCCCGGAGAAACTCCTTCATCCTTCGTGTTTAACGGTTTCCTGAACTTCCTCCTGAGGACAGATGACCCACGTGCACACATGCTGCGCAACATGTTTGTGTTCAAACTCATCCCCATGCTCAACCCAGACGGGGTCATTCGAGGACACTACAGGTCAGGGGTGATTCTAGCATCCGAGGTTTAGGGGTACTGAGCTCCCAGAGAGCTGCCCATCCAGGCAGGATTAGTTTGACTGTTTTGTACATTTTAAAACAATTTTGGTGCCACATTTGTAAAATAAAAGCAAAACACTCTTTTCCACAAATAAAAAAAAAGGTTTCACAAATCACAAACCAGGCTTTACGGACTCTGCTGTTACAATGTCCAGGTTCAGAGGCTGTAGTACAGCATGGCTTACTGTTTTTCTTGCTTCAACACACCTGAATTTAAAGGGGCGTTATGGAAGTTTGACAGCCAAAACATGTATAGAAATAATAAATGTCTTCTTCATTCATTCTCCTGCAATGCCCTGGTCCTGTAGAATGAGCCCTGGCATTTTTACTGTGATTGCCTGTTTTTCTGTAAAATCACAGAAAAAGAGAGATGCTCGGGTCGAGCAGGCTGCTTCATGCACGTTCACGCTCAGGCATAGCCCGTAGCATTTGCTATCCGTAGCTTTAGCAGCAGAGAGAGAGGCAGTGCCACTTTGTCGCTGTTCCTAACGCCTAGTGACAAAGCTAGCTACATTTCTGAGGACCCTTAGCTACTTTCTGTAGAACTTTCTTCTAGATATTTCCTGCAAATTAGCAACAAAATAGCCATTTTCGCTTCGAACCGTTCTTTGGATTGACGTTGTTTCAGCTGTCATCAAGGATATAAAAGTTACAGATGCTGTAAATGTTACTAGAGTGTAGCTCACCTTGTAAGATGACTGTTTCTCATGCAGAAGACCCGGGTTTGATTCTGGATGTGAACATAGTTTATTTAGAGTTTATTTTTTTACATTAATGATATTTTTTTACAGTAAGACGCCCAAATTTTTATTTGAGACTCGCCGAACGGCATTGAATTCACAGATAAAAAAGATGTGGGTTCAACTTTCGTTTTGGAACAATTTTTCAAGCAAGGGAAGGGAATGATCTGAGCATGCAGGAGGACTGACCCATCATATATATATATATATATATATATATATATATATATATATATATATATATATATATATATATACATTTGAGGTTTAGAGGCTGAGTTACTATAAACGTTTCTAACGCTGTGTTTTTAATTGTTTCTCCTCAGAACTGATTCCAGAGGTGTGAACCTGAACAGACAGTACTTAAACCCAAACCCTGAGCTTCATCCGTCCATTTATGCAGCCAAAACACTGTTGCTCTACCACCACACACACAACCGCTTGCACAACACACACAGCAGCACCCCTCACACACAGCCCCGCCCCCTCAACAACAAGACCACCAATCAGCATCAGTCTTCACCGCTCACTCCTCTAGAAGTCAGTTTGAACCAACGGACTACAGAGAAAGATGGAATCCCCGCTCAGGCCGAGGTTCCCATGGTGATGGAGGAGAACTGGACAGCCGCGGAGACGAGGAAAGGGAGCCAGAGCAGCTCCTCAGGCCCCTCAGAGACCGTAGCTCCTGCTGCCAAAGAAGATGAAGCTGCACCACAGGGGGAGGAAGTTGAGTCTGTGCCGCCACAGGAGGGAGGCGTGGCCTATTATGTGGACTTACATGGCCACGCCTCCAAACGGGGATGCTTCATGTATGGAAATAACCTTCCTGACGAGAGCCAGCAGGTAAAAATAGTCATTGTGCTATTTTTGGAAGTGTGTCATATCACATCAGGAGATTTTTAGCCTCTTTGCTTAAATTAATCCGACAGCTGCAGCAAACAAATCCTAAATTCTTGCTTTGCTGTCTTTGTAGGTGGAGAACATGCTGTACCCCAGGCTGATTGCTGTGAATTCTGCCCATTTTGACTTCCCGGGCTGCAACTTCTCTGAGAAAAACATGTACGCATGCGATAAGAGGGGCGGGCAGTCGAAGGAAGGCAGCGGCCGGGTCGCTATCCACAAGGCCATCGGGCTGCTTCACAGGTCAGACAGCTGCTACAGGCCACGCTAGCTGTAATCAAGGTCAATAGCACGTAGCATAGCATCACGAGTCTTTTACTGGTCATCTTTGAGCCACGTGCAGGGTTTCCCCCAGAAAAGGAGTAAAGCCTGGCGGACCGGACCATCAGAGATGGGGGGGGGGGGCTTGGTGTATGAATTCCGAGTTCCGTTGCTCGTCCGTGACAGCGTGCGTGTTTGTGTGTATGAAGCTGACGGTCCTTTCCGTTGCTATTCCGTGACAGCGGGGGGGATGGATGGATGGTGTGTGCACGTGCACACGATCCGCTGCTGTTTCTCACCAGTATCAGCTGATGGGAGGGCCCTACTTTTGTTTAACTGCCGTGCGCCCTTCGTGTCAGCGGACACGGTAGGGTCGGGGAGGGGGGCGGGGCATGACGCAAAGCCTGGAGGGCCGCCAGGCATATAAAGCGCTGGGGGAAACCCTGCACGTGTGAAGGGCTGCCATCTGCCCTTGGAAAGGACGTGTCAGGTGCCTTGCTCAATGTTTGATTGAAATGTTTATTTTTTTTTCCAGTTCATAACCTGAAATGTTTGTTGTGTTTCTCCTCTGGATGCACACCAGCTACACGCTGGAGTGCAATTATAACACGGGCAAATCCATGAACACCATCCCGCCTGCCTGCCACGACAACGGCCGGGCGACCCCTCCCCCACCCTCCTCGTTTCCTCCCAAATACACTCCGGAAATATTTGAGCAGGTAGGAGCAAACGCGTGATTTCCGTTTCTGTGTTCTGCTGCTGGCTGGTGCTCAGGTGTGTGAATGTTGTGCACCAGGTGGGACGAGCCGTGGCCATCTCTGCCCTGGACATGGCAGAGTGTAACCCTTGGCCCCGTCTGGTGCTGTCTGAGCACACCTGCCTTACCAACCTAAGAGCCTGGATCCTCAAACGCGTCCGCAATACCAAAGCTCTGAGCGCCCACGTCCACACTACCCCAAAGGTCCACAACGGCAGCAAGTTGTCACCGCCAAGAAGTTTTAATAAGTGAGTCTCTGAGACCAGGATCCTGAATTCCTCCACTTTTATCCTCCTTTTATACGCCGAGTCACAGATTTCTGTGTTTGTCCGGATTTTTATTAGCTTTCTGTCCAGATCGACATCAGAGAACACCATCAGCTGTGTTCGCCACAACAGCCTCAACAGCAGCAGCCAGACTCCCTCGCCAAAAAAGCACAGCTCCCCGAGTTTCACCTTTGGCTGCCCCCCACCACGGACTCGCACACAGCACAACAGCACACACACCAGTGGGCGTGGAGGCAGCAAAACACTTGGGCCGGTCAGGGGTAAGCTGGTGTGTGTGTGTGTGTGTGTGTGTGTGTTACTGTGTGTGCTCTTTAATTTGTCATCTTTTTTCCATCATGCCTGGTTGATGTGTGGAAGGTTCAGGTTCACAATAACAGACCCCTACTTACCTTCATATGACCCTGTCATGTGTGTGTGTGTGTGTGTGTGTGTGTGTGTGTGTGTGTGTGTATGTGTGTGTCTTTAGACCCTAAGCCTCAGGAGAAGAGACGCCCTTCTCACCACCGTTCCATCCTACGGTCTCCCGGCAACAGCCACAAACCTTCCCACCCCACTCAGCCCCCCCCTTCCTCTTCGTCGTCCTCCTCGTCGTCCTCGGTGTGTGCAGCAGGTTCCTGTCCCCTCCCGGCTCCGGTCAGTATAACAGGTCTGTACTCCCTCCAGCCCCCCAGCCTTTCCTCCTTGCTCCCCTCCCTCCAGGCTCTGCCCCGACCCGAGATGCTCTCAAAGCTCAGTCCCCTGCTTCTTCAGAGCCTCCCACCTGCCACCAGATCTCCTACTGGGCCGACCCCGGACTGAACCCAGTGTGTGTCTGTGTGTGTTAGTTAAACTATAAAAAGAGACTCCTTGCGAGTGCTCAAACACTACTGGTGCTTTCTCTCTCTCTCTCTCTCTCTCTCTCTCTCTCTCTCTCTCTCTCTCTCTCTCTCTCTCTCTCTCTCTCTCTCTCTCTCTCTCTCTCTCTCTCTCTCTCTCTCTCTCTCTCTCTCTCTCTCTCTCTCTCTCTCTCTCTCTCTCTCTCTCTCTCTCTCTCATAGTTCTGAATCTGGTGTGTTTCATTTTTCACCGAGCAATCTGGATCATGAGGGGTTTCTGTTAAATACAGAGACCGTTGTTTTTTATTTTTATATAATATAACAGTATCTAGTCAGTGTACTATAAGCTAAAATTATGAACCTTGTAATTTGCTGTTTGGTTTATTTTCATTTAGAAACAACACTGCCAGGCAGACCTGGGCTTTAATGCAGGTTCAGCATAATCAGCTGTAAAACAAGAGATGCTTTCACTTTTACCACGTAGCTCTTTTGATTTTACGTTAAATGATTTTTGCAGATTTCTTTTAATTTTGATCATATTTATCTGTAAAGGTGCAGGCAGATGGTTTCAGAACAGGCCTTTGGCTGTGTGGGGTTACGTTTCGTCTAAATATTTATCTCAAGCGTATCTCTACATTAATCAAACTGTTAGATAGCGATTTTTGATTGATTCTTTGTCATTTTCATTTGAACTTTAGCCATTCCTCCTGGGAATATCTTTTAAAACTGCATCATTCCAGCATCTGTCCTGCTGATGGGGTCAGGCAGATGTGTGGAGGTAACAGCGATCACCATCAAACCAAAGCGTCACAAACTTGTTTTCTTTACTGCTGCAGCTGCCGAGGTGACGAGTATTTATTATATTTAACTTGAAAATTGCCAGTATTGGTTTGGATGTAAATAAAATAAATGTTTTTGTGCAGATAACTGCTGAGTAAGCTGCACCCTGCAGGCACATCCTGGACTCTCAGTATTTAGAAAGTCTGCACTTATTTTTTGCGGTTAGAGAACCATGAAAATATCTCCAAATCGCTTTAGTTTTTATGTGAACGTCTTTGATCTGTTGTGGAAATCTTGTGTCTGTGACTCCGTCGATAAACCTGAAAGGTTTTATTAGCAGCAACTCTCAGAGTATTTGGTCTCTCTGTGTTGTAGCTGCTGTCTGATCCAGTGCTGTGAACCGTGGTTGTTATGGTGTGCCTTGCTTCAACGTAAACTGTAGGTTTTTAAGAGCCGCTCATATTTCAGGGCAATTTGTAGAATATCTTGCTGCACCTGTACGTCCTGCAAACTGCAGCTGAAAAATAAAAAATGGCTTGAAGTTAGTGGCCACTATTGTTGCTTTGCAATAACACATAATCACTAGTATTGTTGGCTTTGTACAGCAGATCATCTAGTAATAATTTAGTGCTTTTACACACTTTAAAATGGCTAAAATATCACTTTTAAAGCAGAAATGTGGAGTTTTTTTGTCAGAGGACACCATCTAGAGATGGAAAATTGTATCACACCTTATGTCCCTCTTCCTATATCATTACACCTGGAAACAATGCCTCTCGATTACGAATAATAATAATACATTTTATTTAAAAGCGCCTTTCCGGTCACTCAAGGACACTGTACACTGGACGAATGTGCACCTTAGTCGGGCAACAGAGCTATAACACATTTTTTACAATTATATACATACATACATATATATATATATATATATATATATATATATATATATATATACATACATACATACATACATACATACATACATACATACATATATGTATGTATATATATATATGCGTTCCCTGGCCAGGTGAGAATCATAGTCTGTCCAACATGTCCTGGGTCTCCCTTTAGGTCTTCTCCCGGTTGGACGTGCCCGGAAAACCTCACCAGGGAGGCATCTAGTAGGCTTTCTACCCAGATGCCCGAGCCACCTCAACTGGCTCCTCTCTATGTGGAGGAGCAGCGGGTCTACTCCGACCCCGTTCTGGATGACCAAGCTTCTCACCCTATCTCTAACGGAGAGCCCAGCCGCCCTGCGCAGAAAAATCATTTTGGCCGCTTTTATCAGCGTTCTTTCGGTCACTACCCAAAGCTCGTGACCATAGGTGAGGGTAGGAACGTAGGTCAACTGGTAAATTGAGAGGTTCGCCTTCTGACTCAGCTCTCTCTTCACCACGACAGACCGGTACAACGCCCGCATCACTGCAGATGCAGCACCAGTCTGCCTATCGATCTCACGCTCCATCTTTCTCTCACACATGAACAAGACCCCGAGATACTTAAACTCCTCCACTTGAGGCGAGACCTCGTCCCTGACCCAGAGAAGGCATTCTACCCTTTTCCGAATCAAGACTATGGTCTCAGATTTAGAGGAGCTGATTCTCATCCCAGCTGCTTCACTCTTGGCTGCGAACCGCTCCAGAGAAAGCTGAAGATCACGTTCTGATGAAGCCAACAGGACCACATCATCTGCAAAATACAGAGACCTGAACCTCAGGCCACCAAAACAGATGCCCTCAACACCTTGGCTGCACCTTGAAATCCTGTCCATAAAAGTTATGAACAGAAGCGATGACAAGTGCAGCACCTCGAGACTAGTTGTAAGGAGGAAGGCAGACGACTTGTGAGTGTGAGAGCCACCATCCAGGATGAAACATCCAAGATCCATAAGTACATCAAAGACAAGACCCCAACAGATGATGCAGGAGGACAAACTCCTATATGGGATGTACCACAGACAAATAACTGAAGTGGCTCATGTCAGGAAACCCCACCATCGGCTAGAAAGAGCTGGTCTGAAGGACAGCACAGAGGCACTCATGACTGCTAAGGAACAGGCCCTGAACACCAGAGCAACAGAGGCCAGGATCTACCACACCAGACCAGACACAAGGTGTAGGCTATGCAGAGGCCCCTGAGACAATCCACCACATACCTGCAGGGTCTAAGATGCTAGCAGGGAAAGCAAACCTGGAACACACAAGAAAAACTGACCTTCTGCCTACTTGACAGAACAGGGCGAGACTACACCTTTGGTGGAGTAAAAACAAATAAAATTAAAAAATAGAAAATTCCTAAAAAGGGGAAAAACTCCAGATTGCTGCTTTAAAAGTGATTATTTTTGTATTATTTTCTCACAAACCCAAAATAAAACATCACAGTTCAGCTCGGTGTCCTGATAAGCCTCCTGCAGCTCTATTCTGCCCCCTCACTGTGAACCGTGACTGTATCCACTCTTCGTTCAGACTAACACCACCCTGTAGCCACGCTCACACCAGTCTGTCCTTTTGATTGTACGAGACGTGTGCATTTATTTATGTGTGGTGCTAACTGCTTCCACCGTACAGAACATGTTTGTCCTGCTGCTGTCTTTTACCACCTCTCTGTTCAACTTCCAGAATAAAAAGTATCTCTTTGCTAAACTGTGTGAGTCTTTTGAGTGTGTGTGTGTGATTTCTTTATTTTTAACTACAGAGAAAGGGAAACGACAATTAAACAATCTACAGTATTAGGAAATTAGCTCATTCTCAGTTTTTAGTTCCCTGCATGCAGTTTCCCTTTATTTGTGTCCCTCCGTGTTGTTGACAGGCATCAGCTGTCCAGAGTTTAAAGCTGATGGACCCAGGTCAGTGAGAAAACCCTTCCCTGCTCGTCCTGGGCGTGTGGGCCGAGCCTGCCGGTCTGTTAAAGTCACTCATCAACCGGCAGACACACTTCACGAGGTTAGCTGTCTCACTCACTTCCTGTTTTGACTCGTTTCCTTCCAAACCTCTGGCTCACTTGGATTCCTGGTGTGTCCATCTATCACAGACCTCTAAAGATGCAGGCCCTGAACATATCATTCACCAAGTAAGTCACATGGTTTTGAACAGTTTTAGGCAAAGAAAAGACAAATTAAAATAAAATGGTTTATGTTCCAAATTTGGAGATATGCATGAGAACCTTTTGCCGCAAACGAGCTGCATCCCCATCTGGCGTGTGGGCTCAGTTGACACGCCCCTCTCCTGTAACGTAGCAACACCTCCAACCTCACCTGGAGATATGAAGTTGTCGGCCTGTATGAAGGTGGAGAAGCTGCTCCGACCAGATCTGATCCGACACCGGTCTCTGCCAGGTGAGTCCTCTTGCTTCAATGAAAAAAGAAAAGTAGCATAAATTTAATAAACAGAAATGAAGACACAAAAGTAAATTACCTGAAGTCAGTGCATACTTATAATTAGCTAAAGATAAACTCCCAAATGATTTTTCTTTTTGACTAGCAGCCCTTTATTCTCTTTGCTGAAGCAGTACAAGACACCAATTTTGGGGGAAAGCATTTAAAGCTGTTGTGTTTGATAAACTAAGTAGAGTAGAAAGGTGTGATCCCCTCAAAGCGTATAAAACGTATGATGAGGCTGCTCAGTTATCAAAAAAATCTTAAGTACAGTTAAATTTTTACTTAAGCAGCTGAGCAAAATGGTGTTGCTATAAAAGCAGAGAAGGGCTGCTTTGGAAGCCCAGGTGTCCAACAGGGGGCGGTGTGCATACTTATTTTCTTTATTCTTCTGGAGCATTAACTTTTGTAAACAGAACCTGGAAAAACATCTCCAAATGCTGCACATGAACATGAAACCCATGAGTGAAAAAGAATTTATGCTTATTTTTAATCCAGCCAGTGTGTTGTGCTCTTATTCTGCCATCTGTATATTGCTCAGACTTTTAAAAACTCCACAAGAGGAGGGGAGTGTAATTTGGAAGGCAGACCAAACTGAGCAAGCTTGGAGAAAGTGAAAAAATCCACATAAAGTTTATCTGTTGTAAATATGAACTGCTTTATATTTAATTTTACAGGCATATCAGATAGAGAAGGTGCCATGCAGCTGAACTCCCAACAGGAGTCTTCCCTACAAATGTCTCGTGGAGGCCACAGCAGAGGTGGATGTGAAGCTGCAGGAGGGGAAAACCTGCTCACAAACATAAATGTGACTGAATATCATACAACTGTGCTGCTGGGGGAGGGGGTCGTCAGGGATTTCATGATTTAATTTTCTTATGATTGCCATGCAGATGCTGGAACCCAACATAATGGCCCGGGCTGCTAGACACAGCGACCCCATGTGGGGAAGCATTGAAACTGCAGCTTCCTACTTTGGAAGTGTCTGTATTCTTACCAAACGAGTCTTTAGTTATTTGATGTGCGATGCGAATATTTTCCTTTTACTTGGTTTACTGGTCAGGATTTTATTTTCAGTTGCAGTGGTGATGCTGTAGGAAGAACGGTGCATTAATTTCATTGATGGACTGTAATTTTGGACTTTGCTCTGGAGGAGTAGTGCCTCTCTTCACGAGTGGCTGAAGCACATTTCGATTTCCCAGATCATCAGTAATCTGTAAAGTTTAAATATCAAAACCTTTCACTTTCCAGACAAAATGTAAACATTTGTGTTTTTGTTGCTTTAGTCCAACAGTGATGCTCCCTGACTGATAACACTAGTATAGGTTCTACTTCTACGGGTTTACATATTTTACCACTGTAAATGTTTAAAACTTCTGAGCACACACAAGCACCTTTTTAACCTCCCATTCATTGTTGATGTGGAAAAACTGATTTCTGAATAACATGCGCTTTGCATGTATAGTTAAAATAAATATTTTTAAAAAAATTCTTTTTCAGTTTTCTTCTTGGGATTCTGCTCATTTAAGAAGTAAAACCAGATTATTACGAAGCGAAAACAAGTTTGCAGTGTTGCTGGGTTTTTTTTTTGTAGACCCATAGTCTTTCTAAATGAACCCTGCAAAAACCAGCTGTAGCATGCTGTTATTTTAAATTTCTTATACAAGGAGTCTGAGACTCCCTGATTTAAACTCACTATTGCAGCTTCTTCATTTCATTTACTCAAGATTTCAGAGTGATGACCCAAGCCATTCATTTATAATTCCAACACAAAATGTGGATTCAAATCTTTCCAGGCACATTAGCATTACTCTCTGGGCAAGAATGATGTTGGTTGTATCTGCAGGTCTAAGGAAGCCAAATTTAAGATTTTTTAGATCTCATTTAAGGCCATTTTGATCAAATTTAGGACATTTGCAGAATGGAAAACTGTGACCACCTTACAAATAGTGCTGTAAACCTTTACTGGAACTGAAAGAGCTGAAAAGCAACACAAACATCAGGATAATCGCTCTGCAGAGGAGGAAAGTGTGTATTTTCTAAAAACAATGCAGTATCGTTAAACCTTCACCTCCCCAAGGCTCACCTTCTTACTAATGTGGCTAACATGTATGCCTGGAAATAGGCCCTTCTTTACACACACACCTGAGTGCCTTTCATGCTAGTTTGCTACACAAGAACACATAACACCATTAAAAAAATAAATATATGAAGAAAAGCTAAATTCATATTCATTTTAGTGTTTTTATTGCAAATTGAAGTTTTTAATCTGTGAAAAACAAAAACGATGGTGCCGCAAAACGTCTCTCAGCAAGGAGATGGAATGAGAAGTGCTTCTGATCCCCCTGTGGAGAAAAAAAACCCCTCAAGATTAGGTAAACTCAACTATTTAGTCAGAATCAACACGATAAAAACATTAAATAAAGTCACAGATCAGTGTTCTTCACTCCAGTCATGATAACAAAATACCAATATCCACTGAAATGGTGTTAGCAGTAGGCTGTAAATCCACTCACCTCTCCAGACATTGTAGACATTTACTCCTGCTTCTTGGGATTGTTGACAGCAACATAATGGTACAACACGACTAGTAGGAATAATGACACACCAAGCATGTTGGCAAAGATGGCCAGCTGCACGTCGGTCACCATCCTGGACAAGACGATGCAGAAAGAATACTAGCTCAGTGGGAATAAACCATAATGAAGTAGTGATTCATTACACAACCTGAGTCTAGCAAATTTATGAAAGCCAACATGATACAACTTATCAAACAATGATATAAACAATGATTGATGTGTATTTAAAATTATTCACATATTTCCTATTAGTTAATATTAAAAACATGCATCTGAATAACTCATATACCAAAGGGGAAAACCTGCTCTATGTCCCTCTCCGTCTCATTTGTTATAGTTTCTTTTCTCTTACAATGCACTGTAAATATATTCAATTATTTAAAAAAACAGGACAAAAGCAGATTTTAGCCCAGGTAAAATGCATAAAAATCTAACGCTAACCCACATTTTACAATTAACCCTTTTGCGTCACTAGTAATATAGTGTTCAGGAGTATTAATGCCATCGTCCCTGACTAATCTCGTTATTATGAAAACGTTCTCGATCTGTCAAATCTGCATTTTATTACCGTAGCTAAGCTAGGTGGCTAGCTAGCATAACCAATGCCGGGGATACTTTTAAAAGTGATTAATAATTTAAAAATACATGGCAACTGAAATTCGCATGCCAAACTAAAATTGTATTAACCTCAACTCGGTTCCTACCTGTTTCTTTATTAAGTGTTTGCTTTCTTAACTCGAAACAGAGCAACACTCCAGCCTCTCTTTAGCACACGTAGCTCTGTCCTACTTCCGGTTGTAGCGGAAAGCCACGTCACGTTCAAGACAAGAGCGCCATATAAATCAAATCACAAAATCGACAACAAATGTCAAAATTAATTACATTTTCTGATCATCATACCCAAACAATGTCAGAGAACATATACATTAACACGAAAAGGCATTTTTTTATACACTGAATTTAGAATAATGACAAGCAAGCTATGACTGAAACACATTTTGAGTAGACACAACACACTTGACAGCTGGTAAAATAGCAGCATTGCTTCAGATATGTTTTTAAATTTAGCTTTAGGCAAGTAGGAAAACACAATTTGCAAATTGTTGTCTAAAAGTAATACTAGGTGTGGTTTGAATATTTGCATTCACAGCTTGCCATATATAGGCGTGGCTCTAGTGATTCGACATCACCTCACCCGGCGTGAACGACTGCGACTAAGCTAGATGGTGGTTCGAGTTGGCAGCTAACGTTTGGGATTTACACTTCCAAAGGAAGAGATTTTTATCTCGTCGCTGAGCCACAACGCACCAACATGGCTCTTTACGAATACGTAACTCAGGAGCAGCTCGTGGGCTTTGACAAATACAAGGTGAGCAGAAATGCTAACAGCTAATCATTTATTGGGCTGTCACGATCTGTAGGGTGCTTCCCACAGACAGGTCTATGGACGCTTCCCTGGTACAATGTGAAGTTAGCTATGATCCTACCGGATAACGTTTAGTACTTGGTATAATAAAGTTGTTTTAACATGTTATTCGTTTTAGCTGCAATTTTGCGTTTCTTTTTGTTGCATAAGTATCTTTAGTTATTTGACAGGAAAGTTAAAACAATCTTAGTTATTATTGTGTAAGTTGGCATATTTTGGTGGGGTTTTCTTTAACCACAAGTTGATGTGTTTTAAAAGATGTTCTTATTAAAATGTGTTAGTAGAAATCAGACTTTTAATGTAATGTCTCTTACGGAATAATGCATTTATTTTGAAATTCACCGGAAGTAACGGGGTATAAGCACTGATATTTACATTGGCGCATAGAAGCTAACTGCTAGCTACTATTTCAATGGGAGTTTTCCATTTGATTTAAGCCTTTTCCGATCACTGACATTTATTCATCACATATATAAACAATAAACAAGTTTGGTAACGCTTTTTTCTTCTACCACCAACTAAAAGACGCCTCAGGAACTGTACTAATTTATCAGCGGCAGCAAACATACAGTTTGAATCAGAGCGGCGAGAAAAAGGGAACACCCTAAAAAGCAACGTGTAACTTCTGTGATTAGCGTTACACTTTTATAATAAAACGTGATTTTATTTTGAAAGTGCCATAAACAAGCCTTTCTCTTGTCATAAAAACAAAAGTTTCTTTCGTAAAGACAAAAAAAAAAGCTTTTCTGGGGTGTCTTGAGCTGAAGTGGGCATTTTTAATGTGCAAAATTTAGGAAATTTATTTTTTTTATTGGCATGATAAAAATGCAAGATCTTACCTAGACATCATAAAGGAATGTGAGGCGTGAACGTTATTAAGCCAGTGGCAGGCCTTACTCTTCATTTGGCATTGACAGTTTAGTCTGTACACTCCTTGTGTTTTTGGTCCACTAGGCTCATTTGTAATTTCATTACCCATAACTCCATGGAGCTGTTTATCATGGAGGACATTTTCCCAATAATTGTCCCTTAAGTGGCTGCTGGTAGCTGTAGAAAACCCTGTTTGTTGTAAACAAGAGTGGTGCACGATAAAGCCTGCTCTTCCGGAAAGGAGCGACCGGGAAGCAAAAGATGATTAAGACTTATTAATTTATGAGTCATTTTCCAGACAGATGGCTTTAGTAGTTTAAATTAATTGAATTCAAAGGTGAATCAGCTGCAGATGAACATCCAACGAAGTCTTTCTGAGACCTCGATTCAAAACTATCTACTGGTTTGTGAGACATTTTGCTAACAGTGTTGACTTCGATGATTGACGTATGTGATGGGGGGATGACTGCTATGCAACATTTCCACTTCAAGGCCCCTTTCCAGAAGCTAGGATCATTTTCTTTGAGGCCATTTTTAAATATCTCTGTGTTTTTGTACTGCAAGAACCAGGACAACAGATGTCGGAGTGGAAATTTACCCCACCAAAAGGCCTGATTGGTGGATTGGATCTTGGAAACTACCAAGATATTACTATATTACTAACTAACTATGATTGGTTGAATATCCCAAAGATTCCCAGCGATCATCCATTAGAAATGAGCATGTGAATAAATTGAGTCTGTATGCATAGCTAATTAAAACCCTACTTACAGAACATCATGCTCATGGCTGGTTATCTGTGAAGGGACTTTTCTATAAAAAGCCTGGTGAGATACAGTAGACAGCTTGTAGTTTCACTAACAGCCTTACACACACACACACACACACACACACACACACACACACACACACACGTTAACTGTATGAACATCAGATTACGCTGGATCTCTTGCGCGTGTTTGTCATGCCTGGGTAAAGTTACAGAGTCTGGAGTCGGGTTGTTTGATCTTTAAGATGAAGAGCCGCCCAAAAAAACCCTCCTAAGACATTATTTTGTAGATGAATTAAAATACATGTAATCAGATTAGGAATTTGTTTGTGACTGATCATACTTGGTGTGTTTTGTTGCAGTACAGCGCTGTGGACACAAATCCCCTGTCGGTCTACATTATGCATCCTTTCTGGAACTTCTTGGTGAAGGTGAGAGTGCCCTGATCGCTGTTGTGTCCATCATTAATGAAGTTTCCAGCCATTATCATGTGATACACCAACAGGACAGCCTCTGATAGGACTAGGCTGCTAAATTCTTCCAGGAAGTCTCCTTTAAATTTTTTTATGCACCTGCTAATCTGTCCTGATATGTCTTCTTATCTCTACTTTCAGTTTCATGCCTGTGTGTGTCTCTAAAAGCTGTTTAGCTAATGTGGCCCAATCATTCATGACGATAAGGCTTTGGAAGGACAAACGGTCATGTTTTGAATCTGTTTTTGTTTATATCGATTTCTTTGAACAGTTTCTTCCGACGTGGCTGGCTCCAAACCTCATAACATTCACAGGTTTTATGTTCCTCGTCTTGAACTTCCTCATGTTGGCCTTCTACGACTTCAGCTTCAACGCCTCTTGTAGGTTCTTTTGGTTTTGTGTGTGTGTGTGTGTGTGTGTGTGCGCGCCTGCCTCATGGATCTAGAGGTTTGTAGCAGATGCTGGGTGACCCTACAGACATGTGTGTGTTTGTTTTTATGGGGCGAAGTTCACTGTTTATGGGAACATGGCTGTCTGATGGCTCTGGATAATCACTAACCTTTCAGATCAGTCATACGTACCCAAGAATGTTGTCAGGGTTACCAAGTTGGTGCTTATCTCCAAAACGTAAACAAAAGCCTAAGCTTCTGTGTTTTGATGATGTAACAGATGTGCTATAAACGCTAAACTAATCTATAGCTGTAGTTTAGGTTTTTTAGTCTGTTTTTATGTAAAATACAATAATATAAGTTCAGTTTTGTTATGTGTGTTTTACTTTTCCTGCCTGTGGTGTGTTGTAGATTAACCTCTCTTTGTTTCTCAGCTGCGGGACACGAACACGTGCCCAGCTGGGTCTGGGTTGCTGCAGGGATCTTCAACTTCTTAGCCTACACACTCGGTGAGTTCTGACCTGTGCAGCCTGGTTTTTAAGTTCATCAGACTGGAGGGGGACCATAGAGACACTAAAAAGCTGAAATAATCTTGTTGGTTTGTTGTTTTTGACCGGACCGAAGCCCCACACAGCAGGGTAATGAACGAGCTGCTAGCGTTCACTCAGATATAAAGTTGAGTGGTTTTTGTCCCGGACTTGTAACTTTCTAGCCACTCATCACATGGGTATAGACGATTATAAAACAGAACTTTAATGGGCTTTTCATATGAACTGGATGCCCCACATTTGAATTTCTCCTACAAATGCTGTGATCTCTCACACTTGTGTTCCACGAGGTGTGTGTGTGTGTGTTTGGAGGGGTGGGATAGAAAACGACACAGTTTAAACTCTTGATCATTAATATTTCTGATATGCAGATGTATCTCCTCCGATTGGCTAACAGCAACACGACCCTTCCGCTGTCTTTCTTCATTCGTCTATCGTTGTCTAAAAACTGCGACGTTGAGGTTTTATCTCCACAAATAACATAAGCCCGACCGTGTTCTGCCATTTTGTGGAGTTGCTAATGGTTAGCTTCTATTAGCTGAGAGATGCTCTGCTCTCTCCTGGGCACTAAGCTGGGCGAGGCCATTGTCCTGCGAGGTAGAAGACTCGGGCTTTGTCTTACTTAATCGTTTTCCTGTGTATTTCCTTTCTGCGGCAGACGCAGGCGATGGGGGTTGGAAAATAATGTTCACGTTAAGAATGCACGGGTGACTCGGAGTCATGATGGTATTTCAAAAAAGAACAAGAACTTTGTTTTTTAGTGAACAAAAGTTTTAAAGCCAACTAACTTTGTGTCCAAACAGCTCAATTCCTGTCTTATCTGACCATAAACATGTTCACCAGAAGACCTCTAGCATGTCCATGTTGAAGGCTACAGATCTTAGCTTAACTCAAGAGTCTTATTTGGACCAGGATGTTCTTTCTTGGTCCTCTTAGTCCACGTTGGTCTAAAGCTGTCTTCAATGGGATTTCGATGTTCTGGCAGCTTCTAGCTCAAGGTGGACTGAAGCCTTGTTGTTCCTGGGTTGCTCTCGAACATCTAAATGATCTCATTTTCATCTGAAGGTGGCAGATAAGCGTTAGTCGATTCAAAAAGAGCCGTCAGACATTTTTTAGGTGTTAAGTGGAACTACCAGTTGCATGATCTTTAACTGCTAGCTGTTTTCGGATCAGAAAGCCCCTGACTGCCAGCGTTTTTGAGTGTTTTTACTGTTTTTTTTTGAAGAGTCACAGAACATTGTGCTCTATGATCATGTAAACACCAAACTACCAAAAGAAAGAGTAGAACCACTTCTTACTTTAGAAATCATCAACGTGTTTCTAGCTTTATCCGTTCTTTCACAATCCGTTTTCAAAGTGCGAGCTGTTAGCGCATCGCTTTTTTCACAGCAGCGTCCCAAAACGATCTCCTAATTCATGGATTTTCTGCTTCCTGATAATGGGACATGGGACACGCACGGGTGAAGGTCAGCTTTAGAGCTATCAGGTTTACTCTCACAGTGTGGGAGCTTGTTCTCAAGCCCGCCCCGTTAAAAAAAAGCAACAGACAACTTTAGTTGTCAACGACTTTAGTCGTCAGTGGCAGTGAATGAGTTAATGAGTTAATCATATTTGAAGCAAGTTAGATTTTTTACAACCTAAATGTGTGGTTTACCCAGTTATTCAGTGTATTTGAAGCGATGACGCTCCTGTTCTGGGACGCAGAAGTTTGCTGGTGCAGAGGTGGGCTGAAAACAGCAGGATTGCTTATTATTAATGATATGCACACACCTCGCTCCCGATTGGCTAACGGAATGTGTTCAGCCATGTTGCAAATTCACCATCACCAACACACTCTTGGCTGCAAAAACATGTTTAAAAGCTTTCCTGTGGGCAGGTGCGAGCCTAGATTGGCGGGGCCATGAATGCTAGTTCACAGTGTGACATAGATATGTGAGGATTTTCAAATCCTAGAGTTTCACCATCTATTTTCTATCAGAAGCTAATGCAGGATATAGGTGTAGGAGACTACTTTCATGTTCAGTCTACTCCACCTTTAAAAACCTTTGGTGTGTCGTGCAGATGGAGTAGATGGGAAACAGGCACGCCGCACTAACTCCTCCACACCACTAGGGGAGTTGTTTGACCACGGCCTGGACAGCTGGGCATGCGTGTTTTTCGTGGCCACCGTGTACTCCATATTTGGGCGAGGGCCTAGCGGTGTGAGCGTGGTCACGCTCTACTACATCCTGTGGGTGGTGCTGTTCTCCTTCATCCTGTCTCACTGGGAGAAATACAACACTGGGATCCTGTTCCTGCCCTGGGGATATGACATGAGCCAAGTGGTAAAGAGAACAAAACAAGTTCACTCACATTTGAATTAAAGCGTTTTGTAAAAGCCTGATGTTCTTCCAGACCATCTCCCTGGTGTACCTGGTCACTGCTGTGGTCGGTGTGGAGACCTGGTACCAGCCGGTCTTCTGGACACTCCTTTACAGAGACCTCTTCACGTTTATGATCATCGGTAAGCTGTTCTAAATGTAATCGTTTAGTTACTCAGACAGGTAGTAACATTAAGGTTTGTTTCCTTCCAGCGTGTTCCTTTACCGTGACGTTACCCATGAGCCTCTACAACGTCCTGAAGTGAGCACAGATTAAAATGGGATTGGTTTTCATCTTCCACTCAGTTCTCTTGAGGTTTTAATTTATTTATTTTTTTTTACTCGGCGTGTTTGGATTCTCAGGGCTCACCGGAGTAACACTCTGAAGCACAGCAGCCTGTACGAAGCGTTCCTTCCTTTCCTTTCTCCCGTCCTTCTCTTCATCTTGTCCACCGCTTGGGTCGTCTTCTCTCCATCCAACATCCTAGAGCTGCAGCCCCGGGTCTACTACCTCATGGTGGGAACAGCGTTTGCCAACGTCACTGTGAGTCTTCAGTCGTTCCAGCCTCACAGAACCACATGGATGTATATTTATATGTGTGTGTGTGTGTGTGTGTGTGTTTTCAGTGTAAGCTGATTGTGTGTCAGATGAGTAACACGCGCTGCCAGCCGCTGAGCTGGCTGCTGCTGCCCATGACCGCTGTGGTGCTGTCAGCCGTGACGGGAGTTCTCACCGACGAGACCATGCTGCTGTATCTGTGGACGGCAGCTGTCGTCTTCGCTCACGTACACTACGGCATATCAGTGGTAAGAAAACCGTCCTGATGAGACGAGGTGACCTCTGATGACTGAAGTAATTGTACTTAGCCCTGGCATGTCTACACGCCCATGCGATGCTGTGAATCTGGGCCCTTTAGCATCCAACATGAAGACCACCATCCCAAATTTGGGAGTGCAACTGGACTCGGCCCTTAAATTCGACGTGCAAATCAACCAGGTTGTGTGGTCGTGTTTTTTAAACTTGCGCCGACTAGCCAGAATTAAGCCCCTGCGGTCCAGCGTACATTTAGAGACTGTCACACATGCTTTTGTTCTTTCAAGGCTCGACTACTGCAATGCTCCGTATGCCGGCCTTAGTCAGGGTGCAGTAGCACGCTTGCAGTTAGTACAAAACTCAGCCGCTGGGTTCGTGACGGGCACTAGGCGCAGGGAACATATCACCCCTGTGCTGGCATCCCTTCATTGGCTGCCTGTGCAATACAGGGCAAAATTCAAGGTCTTGGTACTGGAATACAAGGCCTTACACGGAACTGCTCCAGCATATCTTGGCGACCTTTTGCAAAGGCATGCCCCCTCGCGGGCCCTTCGCTCAGCCGGCAGGGAGCTGTTGATCGCTCCACGCACCAAGTGCAGGTCACGAGGGGACCGTGCGTTCTCGGTGTTGGCACCTGCACTTTAGAACCAGTTGCCTTTGGTGGTGCGTCAGTCACCCTCATTGGGGTTTTTTAAGACTCGCCTTGAGACCCATTTTTTTTGTCGAGGAATTCCACGATTAGCAAATTTTACCTGGTTTCGATGCCCCGGTCTCTTAATCTTTTTCAGGATTTAATGTTTTGCTTTTACTCTCCTCTTTTAATTGATTTTATGTTGGTTTTACGATTGTTATATTTTATTCTGATGGTTTTATGTTTGTATTGTGTTGTGGTCGGCACCTTGGGCGTCTGCGTTGGTCGCAGAAGGAGCTTTATAAATAAATGAAATAAATAAATAAATAAATGAAAATGAAATGATGTTTAAGTTTGGGGTGCTATAATAACAATAAGGAGGTTTCTGATGAAAGTCAAAAATGCATCAAGTGCTGCTACTTTAAACGAGGGATGACGTGTCGGAGTTTATGATGTCATTAACAGCTGACCGTAAACATGCAGCAAAGACATGAAATCAGCTGGGTGGTAAAAGGTGTAGAGCCACAGAAGCCAGTTACAGATCACTTAGTTTATCATCAGGTTTTAAATCAAGAAAGAAGTAATAAAACAACATGCACTGTAAAAACAAATGTCAAGTTTATTTGACTAGAAAATCGTTGGCGATCGGAAGACCTGGTAAATTTAAAAAACAAAAAAAAAAGGCAACATTTTAGTCTTTAAGCAGAGAGAAGCAGCAGAAGATCACGACTTTAGGTGTTTAGATGAGTCGTGTGAGTAAAAGCTGTGAAGAGGATGTTGTTTTAGAGAAGAACGAGTTCTGCTTTGTTAAAGTTTGTGTGTTTGGGAGGGAGCTGGATTTAAAATATGTGTCGAGCAAAGCTTCATTGTTCTGAGCTTCTGTGGTTAAACTGTTCTAAACAAGACCCCAGGTGTTCTGATCACCAGAAAACATCTGTAGGAACATCTGGACTCTTCCTGGTAGAACAACGCCTTTTCTTGTGGTTCTCAATAACTTCTCAAACCTCCAGTTTCATCTCACCGCAAAGACTCAAAACCAAATTCAAATCCCCCAAAACGATCGCTTGATTGTCCTTTTTAGAACAGAATAGAAGAGACTCGATCCTACAGTAGTTCTGCTCGATTATGGCAAAAATAATAATCACGATTATTGGGACTGAAATTGAGATCTCGATTATTTAAGACTATTTTTCAATTTATGTTGATTTAATTTGTTTTTATTCAGTCATAAAATTGCTCAGGGCACAATCAGGACAAAAATAAATAAGAAACAAAATGATCACTAAAATAACTCCTGATTCCCAGAATAAAAAGACCAATATACTTAGAGCTCAAAGTCTATGACCCAAGGGCTACAGACCTTGGTTTAACTCATGCAAGTCTAACATGTACAGACCCAAATACCAATATCTTGCAAATACTGACAGCAAGAATTATACAGTGGCGTTTATAACAAATACATGCAAATAAATTGATGTTCACAAAATGTTGCATAGCATTTATTGAGTCGTGTCGATGTGCTGTAGGAGCGTGCACTAGCACCGTGTCCTCAGATTAGTTATTATTCATCAGCGTGAGGAACTTGTTTCTATTTCTACCGTATTTATAAACTATTTATTTACAGGTCCGTCATACCATACCATACCACCTTTATTTATATAGCACTTTAAAAACACAGCCATACGGCTGACCAAAGTGCTGAACAGTCGCACAATAACAGAGATAAAAAACATTAAACAGTACTATGAAATACAGCCAACAATTGAAAAAAAGACAAGCCGATAAAAAAAGTACCAATAATCCTTACAGGGGACGATAAAATAAGAGTAGTAAAAGCCAAACTAACAGCTAACTGTTGAACGCAAGGGTAAAATAGTGTGTCTTTAGTCTAGACTTAAAATCTGCCACGGTGGATGCCAGTCCAACTGTGACTGGAAGTTCGTTCCACAGTTTAGGACCGGCGACAGAGAAAGCTCTTTGTCCGCATGATTTGTAACACGCTTTCGGGACCTCGAGGAGCAACAGGCTGGAGGACCTGAGTGTGCGACCAGGAGTATAAATTGAAAGAAGGTCAGATAGGTACACGGGGGCAAGACCATGGAGGGATTTGAAAACAAAGAGTAGCAGTTTATATTGGACCCTAAAAGTGATGGGCAACCAATGAAGGGATTTGAGAACTGGTGTTATATGCTGGCGCCTGTCAGGACGTGTTAGGCATCTAGCTGCTGCGGTTTGAACGAGTTGAAGTCGGGCAAGGGTTGACTTATTGACACCCAGCAAACCTGCTTTTGAGTTTTAAGATGGAGGTCATCTTCCCCAGCATCCTCCTTTCACACGTCTCCTCAGCTGAATTCGGTGGGCAGCTCAGAACCGCGCTAGCTCTGGTAACTTGCCTGTTCAGTATCTTATATATATATATATATATATATATATATATATATATATATATATATATATATATATATATATATATATATATATATATACACACACACCTCAGGAGGTGGAGGCGGCTTTGGCCCTCTTATACAGAGGCTCCGACTTGTTGGAGCCGTTCAGTTTACTGCTGAGGTCAACACCCAGGTACTAAAAGGTATTCACTACCTTAATGTCTGCTCCCTGGAGTTTTACCGTTGAGTGAAGAGCATTTGCAGCATTACTATTCAAATTTAAATGTATATATTAGATGATTTTATATCTATTTAAAACAACTAGCAGGAAATTTCCATATATTTTCCCAATGCTGACGATTATTGTCCTTCTGAAGACAGTCGGATGTTCTCTGTAATGAATTTTGAGCTGTTTGGATCAAAAGGATGACCGTGGTTCCTGAAAAGTGTAGAAACTCTTAATCTTCGTTAGAACTCATGAAAAGACAAGTTTTAATTATTTTTTTCCATAAAGATTAAAGGGGCATTATGGAAGTTTGACAGCCAAAACATGTATAGAAATAATAAATGTCTTCTTCATTCATTCTCCTGCAACGCCCTGGTCCTGTAGAATGAGCCCTGGCATTTTTACTGTGATTGCCTGTTTTTCTGTAAAATCACAGAAAAAGAGAGATGCTCGGGTCGAGCAGGCTGCTTCATGCGTGTTCACGCTCAGGCATCGCCCGTAGCATTTGCTATCAGTAGCTTTAGCAGCAGAGAGAGAGGTAGTGCCAACTCGGCGACTTTGTCGCTGTTCCTAACACCTAGTGACAAAGCTAGCTACATTTCTGAGGACCCTTAGCTACTTTCTGTAGAACTTTCTTCTAGATATTTCCTGCAAATTAGCAACAAAATAGCCATTTTTGCTACGAACCGTTCTTTGAACGTTGCTTCAGCTGTCATCAATGATATAAATGTTACAGATATAAAGGATGTCACTGGCGCTTTAGCTCACCTAGTAAGACACTCGTGCAGAAGACCTGGGTTTGATTCTGGATGTGAACATAGTTCATTTAGAGTTTCTTTTTACATTAATGGTATATTTTTTTACAGTAAGATGCCCAAATTTTTATTTGAGACCTGCAGAACGGCATTGAATTCACAGATAAAAAAGATGTGTGTTCAACTTTCATTTTGGAACAATTTTTCAAGCAAGGGAAGGGAATGATCTGAGCATGCAGGAGGACTGACCCATCTTAAACCTTTGTCAGCTGTGCTGAAGAGAAAGGTACAGAACCACATTATTTAATTAATTAGCTACGCGTTCTCCTGTCCTCTGTCCTCCGGGCCACACACACACACACAGGACTGTCTCAGCTGTTATTTTCATTAAGGAGTGTGCACGTACAGGATGCGCGCCTCGTGCACGAGCCTACTATTGAAGCTGCCGTTACGCTTTTGGCCTGAGGGGGCAGTCGCGAGCATAAAAATTCAAAACTCCGTAAAGTCCCTTTAAAGATGGTCTCTAATATTATTGAACAAGATATTTTAATGCCTTTTCTAAAATCCACCTGCCTGATGATGATTCTGTGTATGTGACCTTTGACCTATGCTCTGTGCAAACAACACCAAATCTTCCAGTTTGAATAAATCTTCAGATGAATTCCTAAACAGTCCTGATGGATGTTTTTCTGTCTGCGTGCGTTTTTAGGTCCAGCAGCTCAGCGGTCATTTCCACATCTTGGCCTTCTCCCTGACAAAGCCGAACTGCAACTGACCGGAGGAGGAACGAATCGGCCTGACAGCAGCGGAGGTCTAATCTGCTCCGCTCTTCGAATTACCGACACTTCACTCATCACCTTGGAAACCCGCTCCCTCTCTCCTTCCTCCATCCACAAGTGGAACGGACACTTGTCCTCATTTCAGACACACACACACACATAACGCACGCGCACACACACTCACACACACACATGCACATTCCCAAAGCAGCTGATCAAACTCTGTTCTCAGCGATTGGGGCGGGCCCTGAGGCTCGGGCTTCCGGTCACTGGTGATTGGCCGACTCAGTCGTGCCAATGAGGTGAAATTGTTTCCTACGGAAATGTGCTTCCGTCGTAAGGACAGGAGCCCGGACGAGCCACGAAAGGACAAACACGTTTGTTCTTCTGTCTTTGTGACATCCCCCCATCATCAAGCGAATCCCCCCAGTTCTAGCCTCATCTCCCAAATCTTAAATCCATCAGTTTGTTGAGTCAGGAGTTGCCAAATTAAAAAGTCTCCTCTCCCAAGGTCAAAATGTCTCCCTGTCCTGAAAAAGCTGGATGCTCACACACACTCAGACAGACCCTGCTCTAACTGTGGCAGGTATTTACATGTGAGCAGCCACGGACATGACGCACTTTTAACCTCATGTAGTTTTATGGATGTATCATAAACTGTTTCCAAGATCGGGAATATCAAACACAACCAAACTTGGGGATCCTGGCCGCTGTGGCCGGCTGTTAAAGGTTAAGTCTTCTTTCGTAAAACTTTAGTTGAAATTGGTCATCTCTGTAATGAAATCATTAACTACTGCGTGTGTGTTGAGGATTTGTTATGACTTAATCTCCACCTAATTTACTCATTAACTCCTTTTTCAAGGCTGGGTCCTGCCACCGTCGGAGCTGATTACTATACTAACTGGGCAGTGATCGATCAGGGTGACCCTTACCTCCATCTGAGCCCTGACCTCCCGGATCACCCTTCCTCCTGAGGTGTCGTGTTCTCATGCTGATTCGTTTCTTTGTGTTTCGATGTACTTATAAGTTCATCTTGGGCGGCACGGCTGGTTGAGGTTTTACAGCGCTTGAATGAAGAGTGCGTCCAAAAACCAGAACTGGAGCGGACTCACTCTGAGGCAACGAGCTATCGCACAAGACGGCGCACAACTTCACCGCCGACCGCCTGATATCATCACTTTTTTAATATTTCTACTGAAGTTTGTGATCTGTCTGTGTGATTGACGCATGGTGGTGGACATTCTTTCATGGTTTCAGCAGCCGGTTCCTCAAAGCGAAGTGAAATGAGCCGAATCGGGAATCATTTCAAAACTCTTTTACCTCATTTCAAAACTAAACCGTTCTATGTTTGTATCTGTCGGAGCTGTTCTGTTTGCACCGTTGGATTTGTTTGTTCTCGACAAGAGTTTAGGTGAAACCTGTGAGCTGTTAATGATGGACCTAATTTCAGGTTTTAAAGGGTAATTTCAGCACGCTTTGATGAATTGTTTTATGTAAAAGTCACAAACCAGCTTCTTTAATTTGAGAAATAGAGTTGGCATCCATCAGGATTGATGAGCTAACGGCTAGCCTGAGTGAAACAGTGGATTTTTTTATCTTAAAATAGTTAAAATCTCAAATGTTGTAATGATTCATGCAGCATTGGTTTACAAATGTTTACACCAGTTTCTTGTTTCTGACTTGACGTGTGAATGGTGCTGATGGTGAACACCGATTCTGGTTTTGAGAGCAGATACTGATTTCCGGTTCTTTTACAGCTCTGGACTTCCTGTAATGATTAAAAAAACAGATTTTCTTCCTGAACTTAAAGTGATGATGAAAAATCTGTTGTTGCTACGTGAACTAGCAAAGCTGAGTTCATGGATTGGAATTATGTGGGTTGAGTGGCCAATGACGGATTGTGGTGAACTGCTGCTTTTTGGTTTTCGTGCAACTCTAATGTTTACTCTTCTTAATGACTATTAAATGGGAAATTAATGACATTAAGGTTTAAGAGATAGCCTTCGACCATATGCTTTGGTTTTGGACTAGCTGTTAGCTCATCAGTCTTGAGGGATGTAAAAGCTATTTCTCTGAACAGAGGTTGTTCAGACACAAAGTGGCTGAAAATGCCTTTAAATGTTGACTGAAACCAAAACCATTGGACATTCACTACAAAGATTGTGGTGGTACGAAATTAAAGGTCATATAGGAAACATTAGAGACACACGGTTTGGTTTTCATTCTGTAAATAGAACCTGTTATCGAGCAACAAAGAACATTTAGTGTCCCTGATATTCTGGGACCAACAGAAGCGTCTACGACTGCCATTAAAAAGCTAGATCATCGTGCCGCCGAACTGCAACTTGGGATGTTTCTCTTGTAATAGATAATAATAGTGAGATGACTTTTATTTCCCCCTCAAGTGTGACTTTGGACTCTGAATGTGACGTAACATCTCTGGTTGTGGTCTGACCTGTGCAGAATGATTGTATGTTGTGTAAATGCATGTCTTATCTTTTTTAATTTGTTTACTTTTTAAACTATAAAAAAAGTGTTTTCCTGTGAAATCAATCAGCATGTACGCCCATCTGTTATTTCATGTAAAATATGAATTCTGCCTCTTTTTTATTTTATTTTTTGTGTTTGCTCGATTGAACTCCAGGTTCTTTCAGTGGGGCTGTAAAAACACTACAAGAGAGAGTAAAGTTGTACATCGCCCAGGAGAGAACAGTCGTGCCATTTAGAGAAACGAGTTTGTTCTTTTAAATGATAAAAAAAGTTCCTAGTTTCTTTAGAAGCCATTTTGTTCTAATATTGTTTTAAGTATTAACTTTCCCTCCAAATTGGTGAACTTGATTGCAATTGGCTGCTCTGGGACATACTCCAGAGCTTCTGTGTGACTGTTTGTGGCATTGTATTTAACAAGATTGTCATAACAATAAAAAAAAACTTTTCTTAAACTTTTATTTATTTTGCTAAAATGTTAGAAAACATCAGTAGTGCTGGAGTTTTGTCTTCCAAAAGAAGCAGACCCTTTGTTGGATTTGAGTGATTGGAGACATTTGTAAGGATGCAAAAAGAGATGAAATCTTCATTTCAAACCATTAAAAATGTCAACAGGGGAAATTAAAGTGCGGTGCTCTGCACGTCATCCACTAGTACACCGGGGCTTGCGACAGCGGAAGCACAATGAATGAGGAAAGCAGAGGAACTGGAGCTCTCGGGTGAGCAAAGTCTTTTTAATAGGTGCAAAAATCAAATAAACTACATACTAACGTTTCTATGTGATGTGCGTCTTCATCAGAAAAACTGAAACTTTCATAGAGAAGGAGTAGGAGGAAATCTGCTTATTCACTCATCCAGTATACACACCTGTATAAATACAACTGGTCAGTTGTAATCTCATCTTAACTACTATACTCAACTAAAGGTGCTTGGATATTATATACAGTGGACACTTGTCATATTTCACTGCATCAGTCACGTTACTACATCCATCCGATTATCAGGTTAGACTTCCTTTTGTCTTCACATCGGCATAAAGGTGTCCTTGTTAAACATAAGCAGCTTGGGGTGACTAATGTACAGGTGCTGGCCAGTAAATTAGAATATCATCAAAAGGTTGAAAATATTTCAGTAATTCCATTCAAAACGTGAAACTTGTACATTATATTCATGCAATGCACACAGACCAATGTATTTCCAATGTTCATTACATTTAAATTTGATATTCATAAGTGACAACTAATGAAAACTCCAAATTTGGTATCTCAAAAAATTAGAATATTCTGAAAAGGCTGAATATAGAAGACACCTGCTGCCACTCTAATCAGCTGATTTACTCAAAACACCTGCAAAGGCCTTTAAAAGGTCCCTCAGTCTTGTTTTGAAGGCACCACAATCATGGGGAAGACTTCTGACTTAACAGCTGTCCAAAAGACAATCATTGACACCTTGCACAAGGAGGGCAAGACACAAAAGGTGATTGCTAAAGAAGCTGGCTGTTTGCAGAGCTCTGTGTCCAAGCACATTAACAGACAGGCGAAGGGATGGAAAAAATGTGGTAGAAAAAAGTGTACAAGCTCTAGGGATAACCGCACCCTGCAGAGAATTGTGACGACAAACCCATTCAAAAATGTGGGGGAGATCCACAAAGAGTGGACTGCAGCTGGAGTCAGCGCTTCAAGAACCACCACGAGGAGACTCATGAAAGACATGGGATTCAGGTGTCGCATTCCGTGTGTCAAGCCACTCCTGAACAAGAAACAGCGCAAGAAGCGTCTCGCCTGGGCCAAGGACAAAAAGGACTGGACTGATGCTGAGTGGTCCAAAGTTATGTTTTCTGATGAAAGCAAGTTCTGCATTTCCTTTGGAAATCAAGGACCCAGAGTCTGGAGGAAGAGCGGAGAAGCACAGAATCCACGTTGCATGAGGTCCAGTGTAAAGTTTCCACCGTCAGTGATGGTGTGGGGTGCCATGTCATCTGCCGGTGTTGGCCCACTCTGTTTCCTGAGGTCCAGGGTCAATGCAGCCGTCTACCAGGAAGTTTTAGAGCACTTCATGCTTCCTGCTGCTGACCAACTTTATGGGGATGCAGACTTCACCTTTCAACAGGACTTGGCACCTGCACACAGTGCCAAAACCACCAGCACCTGGTTCAAGGACCATGGTATCCCTGTCCTTGATTGGCCAGCAAACTCGCCTGACCTTAACCCCATAGAAAATCTATGGGGTATTGTGAAGCGGAGGATGCAATACGCTAGACCCAACAATGCAGAGGAGCTGAAGACGACTATCAGAGCAACCTGGGCTCTCATAACACCTGAGCAGTGCCACAGACTGATCGAGTCCATGCCACGCCGCATTACTGCAGTTATTGAGGCAAAAGGAGCCCCGACTAAGTATTGAGTGCTATACATGCACATTCTTTTCATGTTCATTCTTTTCAGTTGGCCAACATTAGAGAAACAAACATTTTTTCATTGGCCTTTAGAATATTCTAATTTTCTGAGATACCAGATTTGATGTTTTCATTGGTTGTCACCTATAAATATCAAAATTAAACGTAATAAACATCGGAAATACATTGGTCTGTGTGCATTGCATGAATATAATGTACAAGTTTCACGTTTTGAATGGAATTACTGAAATATTTTCAACCTTTTGATGATATTCTAATTTACTGGCCAGCACCTGTATTGGCGTAGATCTTGCCCTTGACATTGGTGGGGACTTTTAAATCCTCCTAGCGTTTCGACAACATACTGGAAATCACACCAAAAGGACAAACAGAAACACGAACACAACACTTGAATAACACTGACGACAGAGGCAACATAAAGTTGACATGAGCCAGAAATGGAATGCAGTATAGCATTTATGGACATGAAAATAACCAGGCAGAGCGACGGGACCCTAAACATAAACACATACAGGAAACCAACACACACACAGACCAATATCTATTATGGCCATCAGAACACCCCACCATACACAACATATCAGTAATCAGAACATTATATCACAGAGCAAACATAATAACAGAAGAAAGAGACCGAAAACAAGAGGACAAACACATACAACACGCTTTAAATACCTGCGGATACCCGGCATGGGCAATAAACAAAGGAAAACAACAACAGAAAAGAACAACCAAAGCAAATAACCAGAAACCCAAAAAGACAAGAACCAAAACCAGTGATAACCCTACCATACATCAAAGGCATAACAGAAAAAATAAGAGCAACAATGAAAAAACAACATAAACACACCAACAAAACCATACACAACAGCTAGAAACAGACTAGTGCACCCAAAAGACAAGATACCAGCTGGACTTAAGTGTGGAGTCGTCTACGAAATCCCATGCAAACTCTGCAATAAAACATACATAGGAGAAACCGGACGCCAACTCAACACACGAACAATAGAACATAGAAAGGAGTGTGAGAAAGAAACAAGTCGAAAACACACAAGAGCAGCAAAAGAAGAAGCAGAAAGCACAATAATGAAGTCAGCCGTAACAGATCACGGCACAAGAGAAAACCATATAATGGACTGGGACAGCACATGGATCATAAACACCGAACAACAGAAATACAAAAGATGGATAAAAGAAGCTATCGAGATTAGGAGACGTGGACGTGAGACCATGAACAGGGACGATGGAGTTTACTCGTTGGACCGCGCATGGGACTGCATCATCAGAGAGGGGAGAGCAGGCAGCAGAGGGCGACAACGTCCTCACCTGCCCGCGGATGAACGGAGAAGGAAGTGACGCCACCATCGGCGTCAGCCTGACGAAGTTTGCAGCCGCAAACGAATCGTTGCAGGTAAATAAAACCTTTCTGTGTTTTAAAAAGAACTAAATGATGGAATTAGAATTTCAACACAGCAAGAACACTCCAAAGATGATCAGAGGTTCAGTTTTCTCTAGGGAACATTTTGAAGACACAGGAACATCTGGATCTGTCACTTACCGTTTTTATCATTTTATCTTTTCTTGAAGGAAAATTATTTGTCTAAACTAGCTTTTGTTGAGCAGTGATGGAGTTAAAGCTATGTTGATCTAAGCAAATTTCACACAATATCACAGAATCTCATGCATTCAGGCTCCTGACCTGTCTTTTGCCTTCAGATGGCGTGGTAAAAATGATGCTACACAGGCTGTTCCTGTGCAGGAACAGCTCAGCTAAAACGGGAGTTTTCCTCTTTGAAAACGGTGAACGAATGGATTGACCTTTTTGTTGTGTCCTTGGGAAAGACACTTAACCCCCCTTACCTGCTGGTGGTGGTCGGAGGGACTGGCGGCGACAGTGCTCGGCAACCTTGCCTCTGTCAGTGCACCCCAGGGCAGCTGTAGCTACATCGTAGCTCATCCCCACCAGCGTGTGAATGTGTGTGTGAAAGGGTGAATAACTTGTGTTGTGAAGTGCCCTGGGGGGGTCATAGAACCCTAAGGCACTATACAAATACAGGCCATTTACCATTCCGTTTAAATTTCCCCCAAACTGTTTTGATCCATTTATTGCTAACAAGTGATTTACTTCCATAAAATAGTTATAAGACAAAAGCAAAGCAGGAAAATGTGAATTTAAACTGTTAGTACACCAAAGATCCAGCAGATGGCGGATTATTACAACAAATTTCTCATATCCTCCTTTTTAAATCAAATAACATACATTTCCCTTAGAAACCATATGTTTTACACGGCACACAATTCCACCTAGTAAGGAGTTTCACACATGAAGCAGCTGTTTTATAGTTTTCCTCAATGTATGAACAACATGTGCTGAACTTAACACCTCTGGCTCGTGTGGCTCTGCTTTCTTTCACAGACTTCATTAATTATTGCTGAATGTTTGTGTCTGCAAATTTGTCTGGCAGCAACGGTTTGTGTCTTTTTTATTTTTTATCACATTTAGTCAACCTCAGATGTAGAAGGAGTTAAACAGGAGAAGTAAATTCAGAGAGAAAGGAAACCTTTGGAACATATCTGACATCTCTAAAGGTGGTGTGTGATGGGTGGTGATGATGAGCTCCAATCAGCAGCTGATGAAGATTCTTTTATCCACACGGTTCTGTCATGATTCATCCAGACAGTATTAAACGAGCCAAGGGACAAGAGGTCTGTTGAGTTTGCGGTCAGATTGTTTGGGAACACGGCCGGATGTTTGGGGCGGTGTTATTCAAGGTCACTGAACCTAAACCAGAAAACCAGGAACTCATCTTGTCTGCATTGTTCTGTCTCAACAGGTGGATTTTCTGAAAAATAATTTGTTTCTCTTATCAAATAAAAATTGCGCCATCTTTCCGCTGCAGATCGAGGACTCTAAACTCAAACGCTTAAGACATTTTTAAATTGACTCCTTGTATGATGTGAGTTACTGCTAACGGCAGTGGTGCCTCAGAGGAGTGGCCAAGCGCGGGCAGGGCCACCCCAAGAAAATTGCTGGCCACC